GATTCTCATCCTGTTTCTTTCGAGTAGTCTTCCGCCTAACCTTTTGTATTTCTCTAAGTAATTATTCAAATAAATGTCTTTCTCATTGAAATGAAGAAGCTTGTTTATTTTCTGATAATATCCAGAGTTATGCTCTTTTATTATTAAATCCGGTTAGCACTTTATGGTTGCAATTGTTTCTTTTTGTATGTCTAGCAGTGTTGAAAAGAAGAATCCTATTGATTGTCAATAGCTGCTAGAGGGTATTTGTTCTGTTGTCTGGCAAACTATGTTTCCTATTTTCAGGGTCTGTGCAGCAGTCGTGATTTATGTAACCTACTGGTTTCTTTGTTACCATGGTGTTGTCAGTTTAACCAATCAGAACTTCCTGCTACAATATTATCAGGTAGGCTGTTATGAGATATCAAAGTAAAATAATAACAGATGCTTATTATTCTGCTATTATATTGATATCATGGCTCAGTGAGTAAGTCGTTGGCTCAGTGCTAGTACATGTACAGCAATGCGCTGGCTCAGTTAGTAGGAACCTTTTCAGTGAGTAACCTGTTGGCCCAGTGAGAAAGGCGCTGTGAGTAAGGTGATTGACACTCGATATAATGGTTAATAACAATTTTGTGATTTTTTTCCGCCAGTTCCCAAAAAGAATCACCAATACCCCAAAACGTTATCGCCAAACGTTATCGCCAAAATCAAATTTTAATTGCCACTTTCATATTTTTATTGCAAAGTGTGACTTTGGCAACCAACAGCATGAGCCCTGGCTGTTTATATTATGTGCAATGGATGCTGTATGTTGAGAAATGTCTGGTTTATCATAACTTTGTAAATACTGAACAGAATTTCAAGCATTTTTGGACTGATTCCTTTTATAGAGAGAGAGAGAGAGAGAGAGAGAGAGAGAGAGAGAGAGACTAACATGTGGTTCAATTTTATTTCAATAATTTGCCAGTGCAAAGGAGTCTTTAGCAGTGGGAGGAAGCGGGAGGACCCAGAGAAAACCTAGAGAAAAACCACAAGGCTGGACAGGCGACCCTACTCCTTGTCACATACAACAGGGGAATTGAAACCATGCCAGTTGACTCATTGACAGACGGTATGATACAACGTGCATGCGCTAACCATTCGGCTATCCAACCCTCCATTTTGCAAAGAGACTCAAATGATAATTAGAGACTTTAAACATACATAATTATGCAGGAGCTCAATCTGCCTACTGCAGGTCTTTCTTTAGGCCTGAAATGTTATCTAAATTATTACTTAGACATTAATTAACTTATTCAGACCATGTAAATTTACCTAGAAAAAAAACTGAGTTGCCATGAAACATACAAAGTTTATTTTTAAAATGTATTTTTCAGATTTAGAACTGTCTCCCATCATTCATTGTTTTACCTGTGTCTCAAAATTATCAAAGTTAAAGTCATTTGGATGCGAGAAGGAGCCGAAAACTGTTCGTAAAGTTCCTGAAAATATACACGGATACCGTCGGCATAAAAGGGCTGATCATGAACATTTATATAATGTTGAGGAGGATGATTCAGACAAAGAGGTGGCTGAGGGAGATAGATCTCCGTCGAAATTGAAACCAGCGAGGTTTAAACGAAAAGGAGTGCCTCTGGTGCGGACTGTATTGGCCCCTAAAGATGAAGATTGCTACTCTGATGATGATATTTTGTCCTATCCGAATATCGTGAAACCAGAAAAATCATTCAGTGCTGCAGAACTTGTAAAACTTGTTTTAGATATTATTAACGAATTGAGCAAGTTAGACTTGGATCAGACGTCACCTGGAAAATCGTTATCTTCGTCCATTTTACCCCATTTATTACATTTGTTAAACGAACAATTCTCACGGGCAGACGCCACATTAAACACAAACCAGACGGTCACAGCAGACATACCCAATGATCCAGAACATGTCGTAGATTCCTCAAAAATGTGTTCTTGGCCAGATAAAATCAAAAATGTGATATTAAGTTATTTGTTAAGATCTATCTTTACCGTCAGCAGTATCATAGCAACGCATCAACATGGCGTACGAATACTCACGGGACATGGGTTAATACAAAAATTATTTGATTATCTTTCCAGTGGTTATAAATTAACGGATAACCGTTTGAAATGTGACAAAGTTGCATATTGCCTTGTGGAAGATGTGATCAATGGAACTGTCATCTTATTTGAAATCATCTTTCAGCATTTGCCTTTCAATCCTACCTTCATCAACGAAGCGATTGGATTAATGGACCTTTTTGCGCAGAATGACGGATTTAGTTACATGAAATATTTAGTAGAAATGATTGATAATGAAGTCTTTGGTGTTGAATCAAAAAGTGTCGAAAATGTGGACAATATTGTAAAATTCATTGGTAATTTAATAAATACGTTAAAAATACTGAAAGTTAATTATATCCATGCCGTTAAATGTTTAAAACATCGACATCGTAACTGTGACTATAGCGTATATTATGATCATCACCATGGAATTCTGGGAATGGCTGCTTCCTTGAAAGAAGACACAGAAACGATAGGTCAAAAGGCAGACGGAAAAACATTCACCAGACTTGATTCTATAAAACATGGCAGCTCACAGACAAAAGTAGAAGACATTTTTAAAAGTTTTTTGTCCTCCGAGGGGTCTTCAAAACCAGCTTTTGAAACTCATTCCGATTGTGCGGTGGCCGTTTGGTCTGGGTACCTTCTGGACCTGGTTTCTATGGTTAAGCAGAAAAGGATGCAAGTGCAGCTTTTGACCACGTTGTCGAACCCAGGTGTCTGCTGCTGCCTGCAACCTAAAAGCGTCATCAATGTGTTTGTTCCTCTTCTGCCGCAATTGTCGTCTGCTATGAGCAACTTTTATTTAGAGACATTGATTAATCTATTGTTGACTAATTTTCAAGGCATCGCAGATCCGAAAAAACCATTGCAACATCCAACTAGTCTATGTCAACAATGTTTCCTGCAGGATTCTCCCACTAGTCAAGCATCTATCGATATTAGCAAATCGTTAATATTGGACAGTGGTTTCTCAAGTAGTGATTTAATAGCCGCCAAAAAGCAGCGGTCTCTACAAAGATGGCGTCCATTGCGACAACTTCGAGATTATGTGTTGGCGGGTGACAACAATTTAGCGTTGGTAGTCAGTAAACAGCTCATAGTTCTAGCTGTCAAGGGTAACAATGACATCAAAGAGGAATTATTTTTTGGGATCTATCAACAAGTTTTGAAATCTATCGTCTCTGATGTCGACTCACAGCCATGTACCGATATATCTTCTCGTTCCTCAAGTGACGAACAACATCCATTGGTAGTGTCTGTTCCAAGTTCAACCATGTTATTCTGCGTGTCAGCTCTGCCATATGTTTTGCACGTGGACAAAGTCATGAAGGCCTTTTTGGGGAAACAGGGGTTAGGTCGCTTGCATGAACTTATAGAAGATGAACAGCTCCGTGGTCCTGTTCTTGGAGTTTTTGAAGCTTTGATTATGATAGACGAGCAGACAATTCAGAATCACGAATCAAAATATGAATCAAGTGAGCTGACCTCCGAATATACTGGTGGTTCCGTAATGCAGAATTTTATTGACGTACTTGCCAGAAAAACATGTATGATAACATCAGCGTTCCAACGTCTTCACATCACAAGTCAATTAGAAAAATCTGGATCGGCCGAGAAATTAGCGATGGAGTGTCAAAGATGGAAGGATAAAAACGAATCGGAAACAACACCTGAAAAATCCGAAGAAAGTCAATCTCTTAAAAAGGATGGAGGTGTGGAAGCAGCTACTAAGGAAGGTATTTGTCAGATGAAATTCTACCATCAGGACATGATGAAAGATCTCCCTGTTCTGCTTGACATGTGGCTTACTTGCGCAAAATTATGCGTCAACAGTCCGACATTCAGGATATTTTACAAGAACTCACCGTGTCTTAATGTTATTGTCAAGGAAAGTTTGGTTCTTGCCTTGGAACTGTTGGTGGAAATGGGAAACACGGATGATAAAAAATCGGAAGAAGAGAAAACAACGACAGGTTGTAATTATATGTCTAAGCCGAGTTCATTCTCTTGTCATCAGTCGAAGCTGGCATTCATTGAAGCTGTGATGATTGTTTGTTTCTCCTGTCAGACCATCAGTCCTTCACAAAAGGTAAGTGTTTAAAATTACCCATGAGTTCATGAAAGTTAGCAATGGCTGTGTTAGTCGAGTTAACATTGCACACCTAGCATAGCTATTTCTCCTCCTTAACATTACACACCTAACCAAAGTTAATCTCCCCTCCACAACATTGCACACCTAAATAAAGCAAATCACCCCCTTCTTAACGTTACACACCTAACCAAAGCTAATCTATTCTCCTTAATATTGCACACCTAACCCAAGCTAACCTCTACTCCTTAGCATTGCACACAAAACTAAAGCTAATCTCTCCTCCTTAGCATTACACACTAACCAAAGCTAATTTCTCCTCCTTTGCATTGCACACCTAATCAAAGCTAATCTATTCTCCTTAACATTACAGGCCTAACCAAAGATAAATATGTATTGACCAGTCATTAAATTTGATGCCTATCCTATTCTGTCAAACAATTCAAACTGTTGGAAATGCAGCTGTCCAGACAAAATGGTATATCCCCATTTTCATTAGCCTGGTTGGTGCATAAAAGTAGCATATTAAACCTTATTTCATTTCTTTACGTTGTTATTTTATTAGAGAGGAAATGAGGAGGAGATGTGGATGAGGCTGATGTCATCATTACGACAGTGTACAGAATTAGAACCAACAAAACTACGTGCTTTATTTGATATGTTATTAAATGCAGCTTTACCTCAGATACCATCCATATTAGAGTATTCATATCCTCAGATAGTCTCCATGTTGGTGAGTTAAATTATCAGATAGTTTCCATGTTGATGAGTTAAATTATCAGATAGTTTCCATGTTGATGAGTTAAATTATCAGATAATCTCTATGTTGGTGAGTTAAATTATCAGATAGTCTCCATGTTGGTGAGTTAAATTATCAGATACTCTACTACATGTATCTATGATGGTATCCATGTTGATGAGTTTATTTATAACATCTTAGATAGTATCTATGTTGGTGAGTTTATTTATAACATCTCAGATAGTATATATGTTGGTGAGTTTATTTATAACATCTCAGATAGTATCTATGTTGGTGAGTTTATTTATAACATCTCAGATAGTATTCTCTTTGGTGAGTTTATTTATAACATCTCAGATAGTATCTATGTTGGAGAGTTTATTTATAAAATCTCAGATAGTATCTATGTTGGTGAGTTTATTTATAACATCTCAGATGGTATCCATGTTGATGAGTTTATTTATAACATCTCAGATGGTATCCATGTTGGTGAGTGAATGAATGAAAACTTGGGGTTAGAAAACAAACATGGACAAAGCTGATGGCTCACAATTGTTAATTTATGTTTTATAGAATTTAAAAGAAGAAGATTGGGTCGAGGAAGATGAATTACGATTAATTCGTCAACAGACAAGTGAATCAGACCAAGATTATATTTTAACGGAACATGGCTATGAGGCTGACACTGAGGGTACCATACAGGAAGATTGGAAAAAAGGTATATTTTTTTTTGTAAACAATATTTTATTCTAGATATATGAATGTGGAACAGGTTTAGCTCTATGGACGGATGGGAGGGGATCGAGTGGTCTAACACATATGAATGGGGAACAGGTTTAGCTCTATGATGGGAGGCGGTCAAGTGATCTAACACATGCACTTTAGATAATAAGGTCTGTGATTGAGTCATATGGAGTGGTTTCAATCTCAAGCTTGTACATGACAAATGAAATGAAATGAAATGGGGTTTAACGTCCTACTCTTCTGCACCTAACCTGGGCTAATTGAAGACGGTTGTACATGACAAGGAGTAGGTTCACTGAAATGACCTAGTTGTTTCTCTCTCTCTCTTGCCAGGAGAGGGTTGGAGAGTTCTTGTTTTTAATGGGTTTTTTTAATGTTTTAAAATGACCATTTAGTTGGTATTTTCTTTTTGTATTTTTACAGCTCTGGATGCTAAAATGAGACTACAAGTGAATAGTTCCAATAATTTATGTTTTCCTGCAGTATTTCGTTTGTTTATTGAGATGTTAGTTATAAAACCAGAATCGTCGACAGCTAGCGCCACCTTGGTTCCCGGATTATTGCGTCTGTTGCAAGTGTTGAAGAACAGTCGTCTGGCAGTTGAAGCTGTGTGTTCAGAGGTATGTTTACTTGATTGTCTAATAATGTAGAGAAGTAGTGAGTGTTAAGCCTGGTTAACACAAAGTAAAGCACTTTCAGCCAATGAAATTGTCAGATGTATAAAGAAGGGGAAATCCTTAAGTGGCAACCTTTGACCTCACCTAACTTTTTTCGGCTAAAACGATGGAATTATATTATCACTACATGTATGTCTTATATAAACTAAAGGCATAATATCTAGTTATTTGAAAATAAATACATAAGAAAAAGTTTGATACTGCTGAATTAAATCTTTTGTTGTGTCCAGTCAATCTAGATTCTGGGTCATCTCTGAAACTTTTGAAAAAATGCTATATTTTCATGAAAACCATATACATCTTTGATCTATAAACCTCTTGCCACATTGCCAATCGTCTTTCTTCTCGGTGGGTCGCTATCAGATGGTGGTTTCTGGAATGGGGTCGCAACCGACAAATAGTTGGGAACCACTGATCTAGATTGACTGGACTACAACAAAAGGGACTCCAAAGGTATATTTTGCAGCCATTTTGAATTAATTAAAAATAAGGCCCTTTCCCCAGCCTGAAAATCAGAGAACTTTGGATATGTTGTAGAGGACGATTGCACGAACACAACGGTACCAAGAAACCTTCTGTTGCAATTTTTTCTAGGTCAACTCTTACTTTGACTAGAATATTATAAAAAAAACAGGAATAGCTTTTCATCAATTTTTTTAATAAAGATTTTGTTTTTGTTTTTAAGGGTCTGTTGGAGATTATTCTGGATGGTTTTAAGGACAAGTTGATTTGTAAAACTGGAACACATCAAGGTATGTATAGAATTTATTCTTTAAGTGAAACATACATGTGTGGAAGACCGTTGAGGAATCACGAAACGTGGAACAGCATTTTTTAAATGTTTTCAGATGAGGTTCATGTTTGTGTGATTCATGTACACCAGCTAAAAATTAACTAATGGATTGGTAGGGGTATTGCACTAACTAAGAAGTCATTGGTTCGGTCACACTGTTGGTCGAGAAAGTTTCTCAGGATTTTCCAATGAAATGGAGGTCTGGCTGGGGAAAAGTGTCGAATTGTTAAGATGGGACAAAAACCAATGTCCACTTTCCATAGATTTAATAAAAACCTTGACAATTGGAATTTGAGGAAGAGTTGACAAACTTTCCCTCATATCTTACTGTATGTCATGTGCCAAGCTTCACGAATGTGGTTGGTGCAGGAATGTAGGATGTTAAACATCATTTCATTCACTAAGTCCATATCTCTTGTTACTTGATATATTATGAAAATGAAATGGAAAAGAGTTTAAGGTCATACAGTTCTGCACCAACCATGCTAATGAAGATGGGCATGAACCGTGCTGTGTGCGATGAGGGAGAATTAGCCCAGTCATGCCATTTCCACCAACTATTTGTCAAATTCCAACTATCAAGAGTTCTTTATGTGCATGCCAGGCCCCCCATCATGTACCACTGACAAAGGGAAAACCAAGCTGATAAATTCTGAAGAACTTGCCAAGCCACCCAACACCAGGATCAAACCTGGGACCTCTTGGTTAGTGAGCCAGCATCTCACTCATAGAGCCACCATGTTTTATTATTTTATTTGTTTATATTTGTAGATATAATAGAACGAGCGACCATGTTTAATTATTTAATTTGTTTATATTTGTAGATATATAGAATGAGCCACCATGTTTTATTATTTTATTTGTTTATATTTGTAGATATAATAGAACGAGCCACCATGTTTTATTATTTTATTTGTTTATATTTGTAGATATAATAGAACGAGCCACCATGTTTTATTATTTTATTTGTTTATATTTGTAGATATAATAGAACGAGAAGTGTTGTTATCATTAATACAACTGATGGCCCAACAACAGATATCGGCCCGGGAACTCAATCTCTTCCTGAAACTATTCCGCATCCCAGGAGCTAATATAGTAAGTAGAGTAGGGGGTTAGGTGGTACAGTGGATTAACGCATGCGCGTAAAAACATAACATGGTTTTGATCCCCAACTTGTATGTGACAAAGAGTAGGGTTGCCTTTCCAACCTTGTGGGTTTTCGCCGGGTCCTCCGGTTTCCTCCCACTGCTGAAAATCTATAGGCACATTTCTCTATATCAGTGGCAACGATAAAAAAAAGAAGTATGGTCTAATTTATATTATAGTGACTAACATCCTTCCTCATGTCATGTGGGGGAAGGGTTGAGTGAATGGTTTACCACCTGCACATTAGATCACATGGCCTGTAATTGAGTCAAGTGGGTGTTGCATGGTTCCGATTCCCCGTTTGTACGTGACAAGGAGTTGGGTTGCATGTCAAACCTCAGGGTTTTCTCCGGGTCCTCTGCTTTCATCCTACTTCTAAAGACCCATATGCACAAGCGAGTTATAGAAATAAAAAATTGAACCATATGTTAGTCCCAAAATGACCTAGTGGACATTAAACTCGATCCATCTCTCTCTATTTTGTAGGATTGTTTGTTGTCAATGTTTCTGGGAATTGTTGAAAATTCATCCATTCATCCATCACACATGTTGGAATTCCCAGTTCCACCGAAACCAGATCCACCGCCAACAGTTGTTCAGTTTGATGACATCATAGATACAGGTAAACACCTTGATTTTCTAATTTACACTTCTAAATAGTTGGAGTTGACATATACATGTAGTTAATTCCATAGAATGTCTATTGCAGTGGCACAAAAAGTCAATACATGATATTCACTTATTTTGAATGATATATATAATTGCTTGATGATGATTTTATTTTTAAGATGGTCTTCGACTGAATCAAAATGATGAACATCAGAACGAGATAGGAAGTGCCATTCAGTGTCCATTAAAAGATAGACTAACATGGCCACCATTACAGACAGGATTTAGCATTTCTATGTGGATAAACGCTGAAGTGTTAACACAGAAATCATCAACGCCTGTAACGCCTGTTGACAACAAGAAACCAAACGATACAAGCCAAAATACAAGTAAGTTGATCGAACATCCTAATTTCTGCATCAAATATAAGTTATGAGTGAATTTTTGCCCTGACAGTAGCACAACTACCTACTGCTTATTGAAGGGATATTATTATTATTATTATTATTATTGCTCAGTTTAGTGCTTCATTACACATGAGTGTTTCTAAGCACATTCACAACAAAACAGTTCAACGTCTTACATTTCTTTACCAACCAGTCCATACAGCAGTGGTTCTCAACCAGTGTGTCGCGGCACACAGGTGTGCCACAAGATCTTCCTAAGTGTGCCGCCAAATTTTGAATGGCACACTATGAAAATGTGAAAAACCATGTGATCCTAATTGAGTATTTACTGGTGTCTACTGATAAGTTCATAGCTGTGTTTTTCTTTATCTAGTTTGAGTTATTCTATGTGTCTATGGCTAGTCTCTGTCTACAGTTGCATGCAGTATATGACTGGCCATGTTTTTATTTTGCAAAATTCAAATATCTGTCATATATTTAGCCAGGTGTGCCGCTATTTTTTTTATGTGTTCCAAGGTGTGCCGGTGGCAAAAAAAGGTTGAGAACCACTGCCATACAGTGTGCTATGAGGGATATTTTAGGCCAGACAGCGGCACTATTACCAACTGTCTGGTGTTCATTAACATGCTGCCAAGCTATGAAGGATATTGTACCTGTTCCTTTTATTGATTTCCATCTGCTTGATGATGGTCAACAAGCTACCAATGGTTTTTATCCTATCCGAACAACTAGACACTATTCTGACTTTAAGTTTGAAGTTGTGGCTAATTTATGGCGGTATTTACTCTATACTGTATTTTGTTGTATGAATCTTAGATGGCTAATTTATGGCAGTATTTACTCCGTACTGTATTTTGTTGTATGAATCTTGGATGTTTATATTTATAGATCCAAATACAAGTGGTGATTCTCCACCAGAAGTCAGACCAAGATCCTCATCATTTAACGGAACAATGCCTCGGGAATATACACACATCTTATCACTAGGAAATCCACAAAAACGTTTTGAGATGTGGTTGGACACTAAAACAACAGCCTTGGTATTCAGGTAAGATCCATTGACTTTGATGTGTTTCATTGACTTATTCAAGACTGTTTAATACAACAAAGCTTTTCATCCTGCCTATGGGGTCGGACAGTTACCCAAGTCTTAGGGAACAATATTCAAGTCTTATAGTATCAATATAGTTATTAATTTATATAAAAATAACCAAGCCCAATCTTTACATGGGAGTTAAAAAAAACCTATGTTATGGCCATCTACAAAGTTTTTGAATCTTACAAATTTCCACATACAGGGTCGTTTTTTGGCACATTTGACTAATTTTTCCAAATCGGGCCCCGTAATAGAAAGGGGCCCGATTTGGAAAAATTAGTCAAATGTGCCAAAAAACGACCCTGTATGTGGAAATTTTTAAGATTCAAGAACTTTGTAGATGGCCATAACACAGTTTGTCTTAACTCGCATGTAACTCCCAGAAACTCACCAACTTAAAAATTGTTCAGGCAATCTGGCATCAGGGCTGCCAGATGTGTCTATTTTCAAGTATTAAGCAATCATTAATTGTGAAGTAAAGCATATTATTTAGCTTTAAATATGAATGAATATAGACCTGGTTACAGTTATTTATATCCTGCAAAAATGTATTCCTATCCTGTAACTTCAGGCCTCCCAAATTGGACTCCGCATTTTCTACAACCAGCCCAAACCACATACTGATCCATCTCCCTTGAGCCCGGAATGTGACACCTTTAAGAAGATCAAATTAGTTTGAGTTCTTAATTTGTGATAAACTTGTAATATACATGTACATAATAAACACAAAAACATGAAATGGAACACAATTACTATTTTAATTAAAGCGACGTATGTCAATTGCTAAATAAAATAAAATAAAACCAAGTACGAACATTCCCAACCATTAGACAAAATTCGAAGTCCTAAAAAAAATGGTACAGGCAGAATAGTGTAATCAGCAAATGGACTCTTCACCGTGTATAAAATACACAACAAACAGTGGTAACAGGTCCGCTCAAAGAATATACATGTAAATGTTTTATATATTAAGGATAACATCAGCGTATTCTGAACCAGGTCTGCTGGTGGAAGTGTCTGCTGATAATGTGATAAGTTTCAGTCAATGGCAGCATCTTGTCATCTCTTATAAAGAATCACTGGATGGTAGTACACAGCTAGGGAAGGTACTTATTCTTTTCTTAATACACCAATTTGAAATTTCATTCTATGGGGAATTTTGCATCTGAAATCTCCAGACAAAAAAAAAATAATTTGAAAAGAAAGTTCATTGGGGTTTGTCTGTTTGGTTTCCCTTTGTCAGTGGTGCTGTCTAGAAATTAAATGATATGAAATGAGGTTTAACGTCCTACTTTTCTGCATTGACTGTGCTATTGAAGACATGAGTACACCATGCATTGTGCTTTGAGGGAATTTTGTCTGGACAGCAGTGCAACATCCTACTCTTATTTCGAATTCCAACTGTCAAGGGTTCTTTTACGAGCATGTGAACATGTACACAGGACCTTGGTTTTTTTGTCCCATCCTAACAACTAGTTACTAGACACTGTTCCTTGCAAAACCCTTTATCTTGCACCACTGAGAGTCCAGTAATATCCTTACAACTCAGCTACCTCATTTATGCTCGCCATCAGAATTTTTGACTGTAAACATACATGTAGTAGGGTTATAAAGACAAGAGTATCGTCATGGAAACGTTGCATGTTAATAAACCAGTAATTCTTATTCCATAAATAGTTTTTAGTGTGTTACTGTTCAATGCCACTCGAAGGACTGATATACTGTTTTCATTTCAGTTGACATTGACTGTAAATGGCTGGATCCACAAAGAATTTCATCTAGATCATCCAGCCTCAGCTTATAAGAAAAATATCAAGGTTTCACCCTCTATGTTCATTGGTTGCCTAGCAAAAGATTCAGTATATTCTCAGTCATGTCGATATATGTTGGGAAACATCATGCTATTCAAAGGTAAATAATAAATCCCTTATTCCTACAAAGGTAAATAATGAATCCCTTATTCCATCAAAGGTAAATAATGAATCTGTTATTCCACCAAAGGTAAATAATAAATCCCTTATTCCATCAAAGGTAATTAATAAATCTGTTATTCCATCGAAGGTAAATAACTAATCCCTTATTCCATCAAAGGTAAATAATAAATCCTTTATTCCATCAAAGGTAAAAAAAAATCAGGTATTCCATCAAAGGTAAATAATAAATCCTTTATTCCATCAACGGTAAATAATAGATATCTTATTTCATCAAAGGTAAATAATAAATCCCTTATTCCATCAAAGGTAAATAATGAATCCCTTATTCCATCAAAGGTAAATAATAAATTCCTTATTCCATCAAAGGTAAATAATGAATCCCTTATTCCATCAAAGGTAAATAATAAATCCAGTATTCCTTTTGTTATTCAAATGTAAATTAGCGAAATTTTTTATCCATTATTGCGTCTGTTATTCTGTTTGGTATCCGGAATGGAAGGATGGAAGTTTACAGTAGCTGGTCGTCATCTGGCAGACATTTTGTGAAGGTTTCCTGATTTAAAAATATACAATATGCTGGTCCTGACGTGACTGATATATTTTCAGGTTGAGATTTTGATATATATGCATTCCATTCTGTTTTTCAGGTTGTGATTTTAGTGAAGAATGGTGGTTTCACCTGTTTACGTTGGGTTTAAATTGTTCATCATTCAGTAAATGTGATTGTGTGAACACCCGAGTTATCTATTCTCCATGTTTGAACAAAGATGTCGTCTGCAATGGAAACCTGTCGTCTGATATATTAGTAGGAAGTGCTCATGTACTGGATATTGATAAAGCCAGGGTAAGCGTAAAATACTGTATTTTTCCTGGTATTAAATGGTTGAAGGTTTTGAATTTCTGTTGCGTTTCAATTGTTTTTGGTGTACATTAGGATGGTTCTTGGTGGCCCATGCATCTTCCGAGATACTGAAGAATGCTGTATTATTTATTTATTTATTTTGGCTAAGTGGGTAAGACGCTGGCTAGCTAGCCTGGAGGACGCATGTTCGATCCCTGCATTGGCCGAGAAAGTCCATCAGGATTTTCCAACGTGGTTTCTCCTTGTCAGTAGTACAAGATGGAGGGCCTGGCAAAGACAGCAGTCTAGTCACTCAGATGGGACAAAAAAAAAACATAGGCCCTGTGTATACATTGGCTTACATGTAAAAGATCTCTTGTCGGTTGGAATTTGATATAAGAGTAGGCCATAGTACACTGTATGGTGTATGCCTGTCTTCATTAGCCCAGTTCAGGAGCAGAACAGTAGGATGTTAAAACCCATTTAATTTCATTTTTGTTTATTTATTTATATATATATATTACAGAGCTCGTTACTGTTAACATATCTACCAAGATATCCTGAATCGGCAAGTTACTTCGGTTCCAAGCCACAGACGGGACAAAGTTCCTTACAGTCCGGCACAGCTCAAGATTTTCTTTTATTCCAAATCCCCACTTTATTAAGTTGCATCGTGTCTGGACAACTTCATGTTACAGTTAATAATGGCTTTGAGAAAGCTGCAGAACAGACAGGAGGAATTGGATCTTTCATCTTTTTGGTTGCCAAGGTAACATTTAAATTTAAGAGTCTAAAATTGAAACTGGATTCATTTTAGACTGTAAAACAACAATAAGAAGAAGTCTTATATTATAGTGCTCTAAATTCCATGAGAATGAGGTTCATGTCTGTTTTCAAATATCTTCTGAATTGAGTGACATGGAATCAAAGTTCCAGATAACTGCGTGATGTGGTGTAACTATAATCCTGACACAATCAAGTACTGCAACAAATGTTTCAGCTGTGATGATTGGTTGAAATATTTATGATAGTTTTGAGAACATCGTTGGTGTGATCATTAAAGATCGGCGTCCACAGCGGGGCCTTCCAAAGAAAGACATTTAGTCATTTGTTTGGATTGAGCGAAGAACCAGGGTCCCAAGTACTCGTTGCCATGCACGTAAAAGAACCCTTAATTTTCCTCATAGCACACTGTATCTGCAGACTCTAAGCCAATATTATTTCATTGTAATTTATGTTCCAGATTTATGAAAGTACTGTAAAGGAGGGTGAAAATGACAGAAAGAAAGCCGAACAGTTACAGAGTAAAGCTATTCGTCAGTTGTTCGTCATCATCAACCGGTTCCCACGTCTGGCAGAAGAATTTATGAACATGTCTGGATATGGGATGCTACGCCGTCTGCTCACCAGCTCCAGGAGTATTGTGGGATATGAAATTTTAAAGGTAAAAAAATGTAAATCAGGATATATCTGACGACTTAGTTTTAATGGTGCCGATCATGCATTTTTGAAGCAAAATGCCATTTTTCACAACTTATTCCATGCTAATATGTACTAAGATTGATTATTTAACAGGGGATCCTGTGGCTAAGTGGGTAAGACGCTAGCTCGCTAGCCAGGAGGTCGGGTGTTCGATCCCTGCATTGGCCGAGAAAGTTCATCCAGATTTTCCGGCGTGGTTCTCCCTTGTCAGTGATGCAGGACGGAGGGGCTGACAAGGAAAGCTATCTAGTCGTTCAGATGGGACGAAAAACCGAGGTCCCGTGTACACATTGGCGTGCACGTAAAAGATCCCTTGGCAGTTGGAATTCGATATAAGAGTAGGCCGTAGTGCCGCTGTCCGGGCAAAATTTCCCTCATAGCACACTGTATGGCGTATGCCCGTCTTCATTAGCCCAGGTTAGGAGCAGAACAGTAGGACGTTAAACTCCATTTCATTTCATTTCATTTGATTATTTAACATATAATTAAACATACATTATGCAAGAGCTAAATCTGCCTATTGCAGGTCTTTCTTTACGCCTTAAATGTTAAATAAATTATTAATAAGATATTTATTAACATGACAAGACCATAATCAACTCTCAATACCATCAGATTTTTTTTGCAGTTGATGAAAAATAACCGTAAACTTGATAATCGAGACTTTAATATCGTAACACAGTAGCAATGACAGCCGAGGCTACAGTGTTATTGTATCGCTGATATCTAGGCTGAGAGTGAAGTAATTTGATTGAAAGTTTCAGCATATTCTCTTTACTGAGTTTACATTATCTATTCTGTAACTATTGTAGTGTGAAAATATCAGCTCTATATCTTATCTTCCATGATATTGCTTTAAGTATTTGCCTTTCTTTGCTCTTCCAGAATGTAAAATATGTAACATCTGTCATTGAGTCAAGTTGCATGGTTTCGATTACCCACTTATATGTGACAAGGAGTATGGTCATTTGTCCAACTTCATAGGATTTCTCCAGGTCCTCCGGTTTCCTTCCACTGCTAAAAAACCCTACATACTAACGAATTATTGAAATAAAATTGAAACGTATGTTAGTCCTGAAATGATCTAGATTGTGTCGAGTGGATGTTAAACCCCATTTCTCCCCTCTCTCTCTCTCTCCCTCTCTCTCTCTCTCTCCCTCTCTCTCTCTCTCTCATCTGCAGTGGATGACGAATGTTGCAAAATTTTCAATTCATCTTATCTTTGTAAGTACTGAATGGAATTGAACCAATTTTTGACTGATATTCCTTTCAGAGATTTAACATTGACAATTAAATGACATTAAATTGGTTTAAGGAATGATTTTGAATCTTAAACCCTGGATTTTTCTGTGTTTTTCAGACTTTATTAGACGCCTGTACATCAGAATCTATATTTAAACCAGATGCATCCTGTACATGTCCAGTTCTCCGTAAAGGAACGGAAGCCATCATACGAGATATCGGAGTGGTAGATCAGTTGTTGTTACACTGGAGAGTTTGGGAATATTCCGAAACACCAGACGTTGTAGATTTATTGTTTAAAGCTCTACAGCTATTGGTCCGTGAAGATCATCCTCTACGTGATTTTAACATTAAGCAGTTTCAAGCGGGAAATGTTCTCAATAAGATATTCTCAATTTATCTGGTAAAAACTTTTAAATTATTTTTTCCTAGTTTAAAGATACATTATAGTAAGTACAGGAGGACTGCACTACACACACAAAACATGAGCTAAATCTGCCTATTATAGGTCTTTATATTGGCCTCAATTTTGATATCTGCTATCATTTAGACATACTTTCACATGACAAGAACATAATCAACTCTATAGACTATCGGATGGTGATTATAAATTTATTCTAAAAATGGATAATCGAAACTAAATCTTGAATGTCAAATAATTTTGCTAGGATAATAAACACTCTATGCTACATCTTTAAACAGCCTTTAATTTAAATGAAATGGGGTTCCTTATATACAGAGTCAATTTTGACCAGGCAGCATCATTTCTGCCTACTCTTCATCATATTCTAACAATCAACAGTCCTTTCACATATCTTTCATTAGCCCGACGGGGGGTTGGATGGCCAAATGGTTAGCACTTGCGCGCTGTATCATAAGGCCTGTCATTGAGTCAACTGGCGTGGTTTCGAATCCCCGGTTGTATGTGACAAGTAGTAGGGTCGCCTGTCCAACCTCGTGGGTTTTCTCTTTGTCTTCTTAGTCTCGAAATGATCTCTTTGTCTTGGTCCCGAAGTGATCTCTCTCTCTCTCTCTTTCTTGTATCTTTGTGATCACCGATGATGATCGGACATTAAGTATTTTTGGACGGATATTCCATTCCTTCGTGAGATTCAAGGTTCATAATATTGTAGTCTGTAAGGTATTCTTCAGTCCCTCGAATGAAGATCAGAGACTTTAAGCAATCATTTCAAATAAAGTAATTAGCAAAAAATATTTGTGATTTCAGGAACGAATACAAGAAAATCTTCCATCGCTATCTGTATCTGTGAGTGAATCTGTGTCTGAGATTGTTCAGGCCATATTAGGAAGTCCACCAGATCTACACATGTTAATGGCCGTCACTGACTTCCTGTTGCTTGTTCATCCAGCCGCTAATTCTTTCATTAACTATAAAGCAGAAAGTATTTATTTCAAGTCAGTATGGGGTAAGATATCTTTATAACTTGTACTTTGGGGACTTTTTCGGCCCAAAACAAGGATCAAACCCAGGACCCCCTGGTTAGTGTATCAGTGTTTTACTGTGTAGAATAAAATGATTCTCGATTACAAAGAACTGTTGATGCAGAAGGGTTGATCGCACTATTTCGCTATAAGACAGGGTCTCAATATGCATGATTTTTATATATATGGGTGCTGGCTTGTCGAGTGGCCTAATACATGCACTTTAGATCATATAGCTTGTCAGTGAGTCAAGTGGCGTGGTTTTGATACCTGGGCTGTACTTGTCTAGGAGTAGGTTTTCTCTGGGTCCTTCAGTTTCCTCCCACTGGCGAAGACCCCCCATCTATCTATATAAAGGTGAAATGTCACATTAACCAGAATGTGGATTATATAACAACTCGTCCATATCCTAGTGTAGTAAAGACAAGTAAAACAAAATTTTGAACTATAAAAAAACCGAAAGGAAATAGGATCTGTGTTTTAATCAGATTGATCAAGAGCAAGAGAATATGTGTAACCTGTTTGTGTTTGTTATTTCTTTAGCTCTTCCTAATGTGGGATCAACGCTTGTGAAGAAAACACGACAGAAGCACACGGCTGTGAACTATGACAGTACAGATAGTGATAGTCAAGCGGGTAAAACAATCCAACATCGAGGTACAGTAAATATTTATGCCTATTTTAACGTATTGCTGCAGGCCTGCGACAGTCCAGCGCTGTGGACACTATTGGCTGGCCCCTTTAATTCATTTTGTTGATTTGATAATCCCTGTATTAAATGTGTCTTGTCTGTGTGGTTTGTGTTCCGGGTTTCTGTTGGTGTGGTTTATTGGGTTATCCAAAAAAAACAAACCAGGTCATACTGGGACAAACATATGGTATGATTATATTTCAACAATTCACCTGTTCATAGGGTTATTTAGGAGAAGGGGTTGGGGGTATTTTGGTTTGTGATTGAGTCAACTGGCGTGGTTTTGATTCCCCGGTTGTATGTGACAAGGAGTAGGGTCACCTGTCCAACCTCATGGGTTTTCTCTTTGATCTCCGGTTTCCTCCCTCTGCTAAAAAGACCCTTACGCGCAAGCCAATTATTGAAATAAAATTGAACCATGTGTTAGTCCCAAAATGACCTAGTTTGTATCGAGTGGATGTTAAACCCCATTTCTCTCTCTCTCTCTCTCTCTCTCTCACTCTCTCTCTCTCTATTGAGGAGAACACCTACAAGGTTTTTTAGGCTATACTATCTTAGGATCAAACCTATGCAACTTGACTCAATGACATACTTTAAAATCTACAGCGCATGCATTTCACAACTCGATAGAGATATAAACATCATGCATTTCCATTTGAAATTAACAATGCTAAAAAATAAACAACACAATTGATTATTGATATATAATGATTAATTTTTGAACAGTAGTCAAAAAATTAAATACTTGTATATTCGACACTCATTATCAAAATTGAATGGTCAGCTTTAAACTGGACACAAGTACAAATTAGATGATTTTTGGTGATTTTAAATGATTTTTACAAATTTTTAAACAATGATTTGATATTAAACAAATGTGAAAGAAATTAGTGCTAGATAACACAAGATTAAATGATACCAGGGTTGCAGTGTCACCCATTTGAAATTAACAATGTATTTTATTTTTGTTTAAAGTAAAGAGAATTAGTGATTTGTCGATATCCAGCCATGGAGGTGATGCTGATTTAAGTAGAACAGATACAGGAGACACAGACGGCAGCGAGAAATCGTACGATTATCCTAAGGTGCAGACGGTCGATGAACCTCACGATAATATGGATCACGTTGATTCTGATGACGGCATGGAAATAAACTTTGAACCTGATAAAACAATAGAATCAGACAGTGCTCAGAAAAGTTTGGAATGGGATGTCGTTGCTGGATCGATCGCATGCAGTCCGTCAAACAAGAGAGGGGATATTGAGTATGGGCTTGTTGAAGGAGAGGAATCACCGATTCTGTCACGACTGATGAATAATAGAAATAATAGCCGTATGTTCGATGATACACTGTTTATAAGATTCGATGATGACACCGAGTTTGAAGAAAATAACGAAAGGGGTTTGGCGACCTTGTGTACTAGTAAGTATTTTCATGTCAATTAAAGATAACTCATTGTGTTGAATAAGTATAACAGTTTTCTATTAAATTCAAATGGCCAACAGTATAGCTAGAAATGAATATTTGTTTGGCACCATAGTATCTCAAAACAGTTAAAACGATTTCACAAAGATTTAAATCACCATAAAACAGTTCTTATGTTATTTCCACCCCCGGCACACTGTACAATCATCAAATATCATTGCCTCTCTCAACTGATTTGTTATTTGAATGTATTGGATGCTTACACATTGTGCAGGCCTTACCATACCCAACATGACTAAGCAGTACTTTCAAAAAAGATATAAAATCGAAGTATATGTTAGTCCTGAAATGAACTAGTTTGCTAGTGTGTGTCGAGTGGAGTTAAACTCTCTCTCTCTCTCTCTCTCTCTCTCTCTCTCTCTCTCTCTCTAAGAAAAAGAAGGCCTTGTATTTCATAGGTATTGTAATGATTATTAATTCATTCATAATGTTTTGTCTAATATCTTGTAAATGCTCTGATTAATTGGAAAAGAATGAAAGTATTTGCCAACCTTTTTGGAGTATTGTAGAATGCTTGGACCTATGTTTTGTTGCCTGGCAACTATCATTCTTTCTTTTTTTATTACAGATTTATTGAATTATTTAAGTGAAGTCGTTCAGACATTACCTGATTCTTCCGTGGATCAAACCTTCAGTAAAATCCTGAATCCAAGCTGTCTTATTGTCCTTGCTCAAAATCCTTCACCTCATATCAAAACAGCTGTTATAAACGTGAGTATAACTAACTAGGTTCTATATATGGGAACTACAGTGGCTCAGTTAGTAAGACGTTGGCTTAGGATCTAGTGGTTTACTCCCACTGCTAAAGACCCCAACGCACAAGCGATTTATTGAAATAAAATTGAACATATGTTAGTCCCAAAATGACCTAGTTTGTGTTGAGTGGATGTTAAACACCATTCCTTTCTCTCTCTGTTGGTGCAGAAAAGTAGAACGTTAAGCCCCATAACGGGTGCTCATCGACACCTAGCTTTGTGAAATGGACATATTTTCATTTTTCTGAATCTTCATCAGTGTTTTAGACAAATGGATGTTATTTAAACATAATAACCGTTTATACTAGAAAATATTTGACAAAATGATTAAAAAATATATTGTGTTATTTCAGCTTTTGGGTTCATATTTACTGCGAGCCCCAGTTCCGCAACAAGAGATGTTTTTAAAGATGGATGGTTTTCATTTATTGGCCAATCAGCTTCATTTATATCCAGCAAAAACTGAACATGTGGAAGCTGCTATTAGTATCTTTCTTGGACAAACTTTCTTCTTTGAGAGCCCGTAAGTACAAGCACCAATTATTTATATCTTATGTGAAATATGACAAAATCTAAATTGAATTAATTTTTTTGTCAAGTGGTTTGTTGGAAGGCATGTAATCTTTCATTTACTTGATTTTGCATGTAGTTTGGTTTAAGGGGTTTTAATGGCCGAATCGTTAGCGCATGCGCGTTGTATCATAAGGTCTGTCATTGAGTCAGATGGCATGGTTTTGATTCACCGGTTGTACACGACAAGGAGTATGGTCGTCTGTCCAACTTCGTGGGTTTTCTCCGAGCCCTCCGGTTTCCTTCATCTGCTAAAGACCCATACACGCAAGCCAATTATTGAAATAAAATTGAACCGTATGTTAGTCCCGAAATGACCTAGTTTTAGTCAGTGGATGTTAAACTTCATTTCTCTCTCTATTTTTTCAGTGTATCATTAGATGTATATGATGAAGTATCAGCCATGCAACAAGCATCAACAGTATTATTATTATCCTTGGTAGAGAAAACAGCTGATGATATGGCTCTATGTCATAATACGCTTACATTTATACTACAAGTAAGTCTTTTATCTATATGTGGGACCACAGTGGATGGGAGTCAGTGAGGGACATCAGTAGTATACTACAATGTCTTTTATCTATACAGGGCAGGGTGGGACCACAGTGGATGAGAGTAAGTGAGGAGCATCAATAGTATACTGCAGTGTCTTTTATCTATACTGGGCAGGGTGGGACCACAGTGGATGAGAGTGAATGAGGGGCATCAGTAGTATACTACAATGTCTATACAGGACAGGGTGGGACCACAGTGGATGAGAGGGAGGGGTGAACATCAGTTGTATATTTCAGTTCCTTTTATTTATACATGGACAGGGTGGGACCCCAGTGGATGAGAGCGAGGGGACGGGTATCTGTAGTATACTTCAGGTAGGTCTTATGACTATGTGGGGCAGAGTGGGACAACAAGTGGATGAGAGAGAGGGATGGGCATCAGTAGTATACTTCATCAATGTCTTCAGAATATGTTCTCGAAGAGATTATAAATAATGTGTGTTTTATTTTAGTTAATTCAGTCTATCCCGAGATGTCGACAATATTAATAGATCTTACTATGTTATTTATAATGGTCTTGGAGAAGTTAGATATATATATATAGATGTTTTATTTTAGTATCTAGTCTATCCATGTTAATAGATCATACTGTTATGTCCACGATATTAATAGATCATGTGTTTTATTTTAGTTGATTCAGTCTATACCTGTTATGTCAACAATATTAATAGTTCATGTGTTTTATTTTAGTTAATTCAGTCTATCCCATTTATGTCCACAATATTAATAGATCATGTGTTTTATTTTAGTTTATCTCGTCTATCCCCATTAATAGATCATACTGTGCGTTTTATTTTAGTTGATTCAGTCTATACCAGTTATGTCCACAATATTAATAGATCATGTGTTTTATTTTAGTTTATCTCGTCTATCCCCATTAATAGATCATACTGTGCGTTTTATTTTAGTTGATTCAGTCTATACCAGTTATGTCCACTATATTAATAGATCATGTGTTTTATTTTAGTTAATTCAGTCTATACCTGTGATGTCAACGATACTAATAGATCATGGTCTGGGAGAAGTGATGTGTAATTTATTATCAGTAATAAGTCAAACAGACAACAGGTAATTATAAATACCAACATTTTCACAGTTGCCCTTAGGATAAAGTTCTTAGTCTGTCTGTCATTTTCCAGAATTTTCATTTAATTTTTTGGAGCTACGGTGGCACAGTGGGTGGGACGTTGGCTTGCTAACCTAGAGACCCTGACCCTGTGTTCGATCCCTGCGTTGGCCGAGAAAGTTCATCTAGATTTTCTGGCGTGGTTCCCCCTTGTCCGTGATGTAGGACAGAGGGCCTGGCAAGGGACAATGTCAATTTGTTTTGGATGGGACGAAAAATGAGGTCCTGTGTACACATTGGTATGCACATAAAAGATCCCTTGTCAGTTGGAATTCGAAATAAGGGTAGGCCATAGTGTCACTGTCGAGCAAAATTTACCTCATAGCACACTGTATGGCGTATGCCTCTCTTTATAAGCCCAGTCAGAGCAGAACAGTAGGACATTAAACCCCATTTCATTTTATTTTCTTTAATTTATCAGAGTGAAATACTGATTTGGGGGAGGGAGGGAGGGGGGGGGGTCCTATGAGAGTTGTGAAATGTTCCAAGAGTTTGGTAACTCCTGTGATCCCTGTATAAAACGCTAGCTCACTAGCCTGGAGGTCGGGTGTTCGATCCCTACATTAGCCAAATTTATGTACCAATATATCTATATAATTTTGTTTGTTTTTTCTAGTGAGACAGATATTGATGGTATTAAAGAAAACCAGCTGTTGTTTATAGACATACAAAATATATTCTGTGCTCTAGCCATACGGGAATTCAGGTATGTAGCTGTACCTGTATTTTTGTTTAAATTTAAGATGCATTAATTTTATAATTGTTATTGGAATAACCATGCATAAAGTAAGGTCTATCCTAGTTTCTGGTAGTCGTTCGGATGGGATGAAAAACCGAGGACCTGTGTATACATTGGCCTGCATGTAAAAGATCCTTAAAAAAAACAACACTATGCTTCTAGGTGTGGTGTCATTTCACTTTGAGGGGGGGGGGGCATGGTGGCTCAGTGAGTAAGTTCCACCTTGTTAGTGGTGCAGGACAGAGGGCTCTGGCCAGGGACAATGTATGGGGCGATAAACCAAGGTCTCGTCTACACATTGGTATACAGGTAAAAGATCCATTGGCAGTTGGAATTCGATATAAGAGTAGGCCATAGTGTCACTGTCGAGCAAAATTTACCTCACAGTTCACGGTATGGTGTATGCCCATCTTCATTAGCTCAGTCAGAGCAGAGCAGTAGGACGTTAAACCCCTTTTCATTTCATTTGTCAATTCACTTTACGTCCGGGCATTTCAAAGTTATAATTGACCTTGAGATCTCCAGATGAAAAGTAACATGACGAAATTAAGACAGATTCAGAGTTGGCTCAGCTACAGAAATATTTTATGAGAAAAGTGTCACTGTCATGGGCTTTATCTATTATCGTCAGATGGTGGGATGGGATGCGAGATAATGATATAGGCATATGTGATATTACAATTAATTGCTTTGTATAAATGAAATTGAATCACAGTCTCATTGTATTAATTTACAATAAAAATTGGTGCCAAACGGGGTGTTGGGTTTATCTCTTTAAAAAGCTCAGTGTATAAATATGTGAAAAAGACGATAGAGACATGTATTTCCCAAAACTTTTCAGGGGTGGGAGCGGAGAGAACCCCTCCCCCCAAAGTTACATTGTCTAAGGAACCTGGCAAACCCCCACCTGCAGTAATTCCTTGATCTGCCCCTTAGATTAAATTAGATGTTTTGTGTATTTATATTATAGTTGGAGTGCCGTCATACATTATCAACAACTAGATGATTTATTTAATCTACTGAAGTCCCTGGAAAATAGGGAAATATCCAGCAGTAAGTAAAAATTATCGGTTATTATAATTTTAAAATAGGTGGCTCAGTGATTGAGGTGCTGGCTAATTAAACAGGAGTTTCCGGGGGTTCAATTCATGTTTGGCTGAGAAAGTTCCTTGGGATATTCAAGCGTGGTGCAGTACAGAGGTTCTGGCAGAGAATAGCATTTACTTTTTGGGATCTAGGTCCCTTGTACAAATAAGTGTGCACATAAAAGACCCCTTGGCATTTGGAATTCGAAGAGTAGGCAAAATTCAGGCAAAATTTACCTCATAGCACACTGCATGGCATATGCATAAAAGTAGGACGTAAAAACCATTTAATTTCCTCTTTTGAACCCTTAGGGGTTAGGTGGCCGAATGGTTCATAAGGTCTGTCATTGAGACATGGTTTTGATTCCTTGCTTGTACGTGGGTTTTCTCCAGGTCCTCCCGTTTCCTTCCACTGCTAAAACCCCTGTGCGTAAGCAATTGATTGAAATAGAATTGAACCATATGTTAGTCCAAAAATGACCTAGTTTCTGTAGAGTGGAGGTTAACCCCCATTTCTCGCTCTCTTTTGAACCCTATTGACTGGTCCCTTTAAATGGCTAATTTCAGTTAAATCTTATTGGTGCACTTCATTTCAGGTAAAAGTAGGACGTTAAACCCCATTCACTTCATTTCAGGTAAAAGTAGGACGTTAAACCCCATTCACTTCATTTCAGGTAAAAGTAGGACGTTAAACCCCATTCACGTCATTTCAGGTAAAAGAATCTCAAGTCCTGATATTATTCAAGGTATACAGATCGCAATGTTAACAGGTATACTAGAATATGTAGAGGGCGCCAGTGAGGACATCAGTAAACAGTCAATTGGTTGGTTCTCAGCACCCAATACAAATTCAGCAAACCAGGCAGGATATGGTAAGATAGATCAGTTGATATTTACCGTAGCTAATTTTTACCGTCTGTCTTTCTCTATTGTTTGTTTTGTCTCTGTTTTGTTGAGCAATTATCCAGCATTGTCCATTCTTGCTGGCTCCTTTTTCAGAAAAGGTTGAAATGCAATTTTTTAAGACTACTGTTCTTTTAATTGGATTCAAGCGTGGTTCCAATTCATGTTGTCTGCGTGGCTGGCAATTAATATTAAGTGCAGGGGGACTGCACCACACATAATTACACAAAACAAAACTACGAACAAGACACAATACGCAGAAATCACAAACAAACGTACATATCACATTAAGTGAATGGATCCGGGGACTACCCGTAAGCGTCTCCTGCGCTGTAGTCTTGGGCCTGTAGAAAAGTGTTGCTTAGTCAGTCGGATGGAATGTAAAACTAAGGTGCACCTGCTAGAGTTCATGTACAGGAACCCTTGACAGTTGGAAATAGATGAAACACTACTGTTGACTCTCTGTTTGAATCGCATCCTAAAATATACTATTCTAAAAAAGTAGGGGATATTTGATTTTGGGGGCATAATACTAAAATATGCAAATGACTACGAAAAAAGTCACTATAGAACCTAACAGAAGAAACATTTCCAGTTACATGTGACGCCCAAACGCACCAATAGCTACCGCATGGAATGCAGGTGATGCTTGGGATCATCATGGGGGTCCAACCCAAGATTTGCACGACTCTGACTTTGAATGTTACAGTCATTGTGGCATTGAATTCCAGGGTGGAAACATCAGTTTAATTGTTTTAGTGACCAGAAAACAAATTTTGATATCATCGGCTTACCCAAAATGAAAGGTTACGTGCCCTTGGCATGTTACAGATCGGCACAACACAGGCGGTTATGGCGCGGACGATGAATGTTTCTCAGTCTGTCATAAGCAGGCTATGGTCCAGATACCGTGATACACAATCTGTACAGGACAGACCACGCTCAGGTCGACCAAGGGCGACAACTCAAGCCCAGGATCGATTTATCCGTACCTTGGCCTTGAGAAATCGTGTCATCACAGCAAATCAGATCAGCGCTCGTCTTCAAACAGACACTGGTGTGAGAGTGAGTGGCCAGACGATTCGGAATCGACTGCATAGGGGTCACCTTCGCGCCCGACATCCTCGCGTGATCCCTTGTTTGAGAGATCATCACATTCAGGCAAGACGTCGTTGGTGTAGGGATCGTCAACACTGGGATAATCGACGCTGGAGCAATGTGATGTTTTCAGATGAGTCAAGGTTCACTGTTGATTTTTTGGACAGACGTAGGAGGGTGTGGCGTCGTCGAAACGAGCGCTTCCAAGATGTTAATGTCATCAGACATGATCGATTTGGGGGTGGTTCTGTTATGGTGTGGGGAGGCATCACTGTTGCTGGAAGAACGGCTTTACATGTTGTTGCAGGGCGTGTTACAGGCCAGTACTACCGGGACAACATCTTGGCAGTCCATGTTGTGCCGTTCGCACGACGTCTTGGCAACCGTTTCATCTTCCAGGATGACAACGCAAGATGTCACAGGGCCAGGATCGTTACAGGTTACCTCCAACAACAGAACATCACCACATTACCTTGGCCAGCACTGAGTCCCGACCTCTCCCCCATCGAGCATGTCTGGGACATGCTTGGACAGAGGTTACGTCAACGTCAACAACGTCCTGCCAATGTCCAAGAACTTGCTGCTGCGTTGCAACAGGAATGGGACAATCTGGACCAAAATGACCTTAGACGTCTCATTAGGAGTATGCCACGTCGGATCAATGCTTGTTTGGCAAACAGAGGAGGATTTACCCGTTACTGACTTGGTTGTGATGCTGTGGTAACTTTGCTGTTTGACCCCGGGTATCATTTTACCCTTATAATGGTCAGTCTGTGCCTTACTTAGTCTAACGATCATTTGGAATAAATCGATGAATGTGAACTTTATTTCATTTTGTCATTTGTTTCTTCGTCAGTTTCATTAGGTGACTTTAATAACACTTAAAAATCAAATATCCCCTACTTTTTTTAAATAGTATATATCCTTGCTAATAAGAAATTTGTGCTGTTTGAGATATTATTATTTAATTTTGTATTGTATTATGTTGATATGTCCATAATTTACTGTGGTCGTATATTGCCGTCACTCTGTCTCTCTGTTTATTTTGATACACCCATAATTTACTGTGGTCTGTTTATCCATCTGTCCTCCCTGTTGTTGACTTTGCTTGTTAGCACAATAAAGACTAGAATAATAAATATATTATTTTTAAAAAATGATATTGGTTGTCTATCTCATTGAAATGAAGGGGGGGTGGATGGCTGAATGGTTAGCGTGCGCGCGCTGTATCATAAAGTCTGTCACTGAGTCGACTGACGTGGTTTCAAATCCCCGGTTGTACGTGGCAAGGAGTAGGGTCGCCTGTCCAACCTCGTGGGTTATCTCCGGATCCTCCGGTTTCCTCCCACTGCTAAAGACCCCTACGCGCAAGCGATTTATGTAAATAAAATTGAACCATATGTTAGTCCCGAAATGACCTAGTTTGTGTCGAGTGGACGTTAAACCCCATTTCTCTCTCTCTCTCTCATTGAAATGAAGAAGCCTATTATAATTTCTAGAGTTATCCCCCTTTGTTACAAACTGTTATTAATATCATAGAGGTGTCAATTATGATCCAATCATTCTGAAATTTATATTGTTTGTCTGTACCTTGAAGAACAATCCTATTGATTTTCAACAAATTTTAAAAATAACTGCAAGATTTATTCCCCACTTCTTTTACAAAATCTTCTTAGCACCTTAAGTGGTTAAAATGTGGTCTGAACTTTTTGAAATTTTTATTGAACTTATAATTGTTTAGACGACTTATCTGCTGGTATGTGTGTGTTCTGTAGCTTGGAAATCCATGCTTCATTGCCTGGCAACCCATGCTTCATTGTCTGGCAACCTATGTTGTGTTGCTTGGCAACCTTTGTTTATTGTATTCAAATCCTCTTTCTTGATTTAAACAGGAAAAACATCGCTAGGGCGTTCAAGCTACCTCCAGCATCACCAAACCTACGCTATGTCCGAACCTTTCCAAATATCCAGCTTCCAACTTAATAATCCACAAGAAAATTCCCTGTCTGACACCTCACTCCATTCTCAAACACCTTCGGTAGTCTCCTCTCAAATTACAGATAATCCATACGATGACAGAAGCCTCATTCTCTCCGGATATGGGTCGGGGGAGAGTGACAGCTCCGTGGATTCTTACCGTCGTCGATCACGATGGACATCACAGGATTCAAATTCCAAATCCAGTTCCACCGCCAAATTGGCGTTTTTTGGAAGTAGACGCAAGAAGCTGGTGTTCACATCGATCAGTCATACAGAATTACTGGAGAGATTTAAGAAAATTCTTGTATTAGCCACTGATCTGATTGTTTTTCTTGGTAAGTCCCCTTTCCTATCTTTGTTTGGTCAGTGAAAATTTACATGTCAATCAATTTACATGTCATGAAATTAGAATTGCCAATTAGAGTTGCCATGAAATTAGAGTTGCCAATTAGAGTTGCCAATTAGAGTTGCCATGAAATTAGAGTTTCAAAGAATTACACATTATAACACAATAGGGGGTGGGGGGTTGGCCGAATGGTTAGCACGTGCGTGCTGTATCATAAGGTCTGTCATTGGGTCAACTGACGTGGTTTCAAATCCCCAGTTGTACGTGACAAGGAGTAGGGTCGTCTGTCCAACCTTGTGGGTTTTCTCTGGGTCTTCTAGTTTCCTCCCACTGCTAAAGACCCCTACGCGCATGCAAATTATTAAAATAAAAATTGAACTGTATTTTAGTTCTGAAATCACATAGTTTGTGTCGAGTGGACATCAAACCCCATTTCTCTTTTTCTCTCTCTTATAACACAATTGACACAGTTCACAGTTATACTTTTTATGTGTAAAAACACTTAAATATATATAAAGAAACTAGGATAATGCTAAAGATGGTTATGAAAGGATATGTCTTGTATCGACTGGCAAAAGTTTGAAGTGAACCTAGTGTCTTATTCCACAGTTGGGGGATCACGTGGCTAAGTGGGTAAGACGCTAGCTCGCTAGCCTGGAGGTCGGGTGTTCGATCCCTGCATTAGCCGAGAAAGTTCATCCAGATTTTCCGGCGTGGTTCTCCCTTGTCAGTGATGCAGAACGGAGGGGCTGACAAGGAAAGCAGTCTAGTCGTTCGGATGGGACGAAAAACCGAGGTTCCGTGTACACATTGGCGTGCACGTAAAAGATCCCTTGGCAGTTGGAATTCGATATAAGAGTAGGCCGTAGTGCCGCTGTCCGGGCAAAATTTCCCTCATAGCACACTGTATGGCGTATGCCCGTCTTCATTAGCCCAGGTTAGGAGCAGAACAGTAGGACGTTAAACTCCATTTCATTTCATTTCATTTCTTCCACAGTTGTAGATATGACTTTTAGTAAGTCCTACCAGTCTTAATGAAACGGGCAAAAAATATTTAAGCAAGTCCTACCAGTCTAGATGATATTACCTGATCCAACTAGTGAACAATGTCCTAGCAAACAATGTCTTATGATATTTCTAGAACAACATATTATGATATTTCTAGTAATTGATGATGTATGATATTTATAGTAAACAATATTTTATGATATTTATATAGTAATCAATGTTTTTTTTATGATATTTATAGTAATCAATGTTTTATGATATTTATAGTAAACAATATTTTTATGATATTTGCTGTTTCTATATTTTATGATATTTATATAGTAATCAATGTTTTTTATGATATTTATAGTAATCAATGTTTTATGATATTTATAGTAAACAATATTTGCTGTTTCTATATTTGTAGATAGAAAAGATGTAATGAAACCAGAGGGGGAAAGGTCTGTCATGTTTTCCTTCACTAAAGGTCGACAGATCAGAAGTCAGGAAGATAATTTTCTAATCATGTTATTTAACTTTACCTATCGAGCTCTAGAAATGACGCTGGTAAGTAAAATTAAAAGTATGTTTTAAAAAGGCTGCTTTCTCTTATTTGAAATATATGTGTGCAACATTAAACGTTGTTAACTGTGGAGATTTCCAGGTTGTCTGAGAAGTTGTGTCCAGTTTTCTAGAAAGATAATGAAAAGGAAATAAATTGAATTTGGGTTAGCATCTTACCTTTTCATCTAAAAGGGCTAATATAACATCCAGTATCTGCCTTATAAGGTCTGTCCTTGAGTCAGTTGACGTGGTTTCGATTCCCAGGTTGTACGTGACAAGGAGTAGGGTCGCCTGTCCAACCTCGTGGGTTTTCTCTGGGTCCTCTGGTTTCCTCCCACTGGTAAAGACCCTCAAGCAAATTGTTGAAATAAGATTGAAGCATATGTTAATCTCCAAATGACCTGGTTTGTGTTGAGTGGACGTTAAACTCCATTTCTCTCTCTCGCTATAGGCCTCGACAGCAGTGCTACGGAGCCACTCCAGACACCCAGGTGTAGTAGCTAGTGAAAGGCCTATAACCCATTCAAAATTATTGGTGGATGTCAGAGAAAAAAGTGTTTTGACTTTTCAAATAACGAATAAAAATAGAATTTGCGTAATCATTTTTGTAGGAGAAGAATATTTTCAGTAGAAAGAATAAAAATGTCATCATGTCAGGAGCTAAAGATATCATTAGAGTTCAGGTAAATATATTTGTATTCTCTGGAGTGTGCAGTAGTTGGTGTTGTTTATTATCAGGCAGGTCAAGGTAGAAAAGAAGCTGAATTTAAGGAGGTCAGGCTGGTTGGGGGAGGAGGGGGGATCAGTTCAGTTGGAAGGTCATATCAGGCCGGACGGGAGGAGATCAGGCTGGTTGATGAGGAGGTCAGGCTGGCAGGGGACTAGATCCAGTTGGGGAAACCAAGGCAGGTTGAGGAAGGGACGCTGGTTGGGGAGGAGATCAAACTGGTTGAGGAGGAGATCAGGTTGGTAGGGGACGAGATCAGGTTGGTTTGTAAGGTCAGGCCAGTTGGGGAGATCAGACTGGCTGGGGAATGGAGGTTGGGTGGGAAGGAGATCTGACTGGTTGGTAAATGGAGGTTGGGTGGGTAAGAGATCAGGCTAGTAAAGGTGATTGGGTTGGTTGGGTAGGAGAATTGGCTTGTTTAGAAAGGAGATAAGACTGGATGGTTAGTAGATCGGGCTAGTAGGGGAGGGGATCAGGCAAGTTTATAATTAAGAGATCAGGCTCACTGGGAACATCAGGCTGATTGAGGAAGGGCTGGTGACTATCTGTATATTATGGAAGGTTACTAGTGGCACCAGGGACCATATTCATTAATGGTTATTGTTGATTATGATGATTTTCAACTTTTCAAATTCTTGTTTACAGCTTGGTCGCCTGCTTCTGTGCTTACTGTCTCCCAAAATGGAATTTGATCAGCGTGTTTACGTCATGTCGTTTTTAATGGGTGAAACTAAAGGAAGAGAAATATTAAAACTCTTAGTTTCTAGTCAACAAGCGGTAAGTAGCTGTCTCTTTGATCTTTTATTTCTTTTGGGTCTTGATAAATTAATAGGGAGATCACTGGCTCAGCCGAGAAAGGACATCCTGATTTTCTGGCGTGGTTCCCCCTTGTCAGTGAAGCAGGACGGAGTGCCTGACAAGTGTCTAATCGTTCGGATGGGACAAAAAAACGAGGTCCCTAGTACACATTGGCGTGCACGTAAAAGATCCCTTGACAGTTGAAATTCGATATAAGAGTAGGCCGTAGTGCCGCTGTCCAGGCAAAATTTCCCTCATAGCACACTGTATGGCGTATGCCCATCTTCATTAGCCCAGTTCGGAGCAGAACAGTAGAACGTTTAACCCCATTTCATTTCATTTTCTTGATAAATAAATAGTCACATGAATCACAATAACACCGCTTTGTTTATAATTTCCAAACTTAACAGGTGAAACTAAAAGCTTTTGAGAAGATTATTTTTTGCTTTTAGATTCTGGAAATAATATGCAGAATTTTAATTGGTGATCCTGAAGAACCAGAATTCAAATGAGTGTAGCCTTATTTTTTAAAAAAATATTTTATTTATAAATGTTTCAGTCAACAGAAGTTTGTTTTTCATTGTATAATCTTCTATCTACCTGGCATGACTGGTTAACCAAGTCACAAAGAGAACATGGCTACCTTGCCGTAAATATTTTACGTATGTACGGCTGCTCTATTTATTCCCCGGATGCTAAATTAACACAGGAAATGGCCGACACTCTTACAGAGGTATGTTAATGATATAAATGACTGTATATAACAAAATATTAAAATATAGTTTTATACTGCCATCACCACTGTTCAGCTGTTGCACACCTATCTGTTAGTGGGAGCCAAGGTGGCTCAGGTGGTCCCAGATTCGATCTCATTGTTGTCAGAGAAAGTTCCCAAAGATTTTCCACTGTGGTTTACCTTTGCCAGTGGTGTAAGAAGAGTGTCTGGCAAGAGCAAAGGTGGGTACAAGTTGTGGGACGTTGAGTCTGAGTCGAGTCTCAAGTCGCTGCACTTTGAGTCCGAGTCAAGTCCCAAGTCTTTGACTTTAGTGCCAACTTGAGTCAAGTCCCAAGTCTTCACAAAGCCTAAGTCCCGTTCAAGTCGCCAATTCATCAAATGAGTCACCAATTCATGTCGAATAAGGTAAATTAGTGTTATGCCCCTCACCGCGACTTTAGTCCTAAGCTCTTTCAAGTCGCGAATTATCTCGACTGCCGAGTACGAGTCTAGTCTTGAGTCGCAATAAATATTTAAAGTCAAGTCATTGACGCGACTTAACTTGGACTCAAGTTCCAACCTCTGTACAAGAACAGCACCTCGAACCCACGGCATGTAAAAGAACCCACGGCAGTTATGATTTGACAATGAGTAGGTGGAAACGCTACTGTCCGGGTAAAATTGACCTCGTACCATCATCATCTGCCCGAAGCAGTAATGTCTTATGTAAACAATGCACGTTCTATTCAGCCAATGATTGACGCCGCGTGCTGTGACGGCACGTGCTGAAGGCAGTCATCTTTTACAGAGATAGAAGACTTTCGTAATTCTCTGTGAAATGGGTTGGTGTTCTGCTTGATGTGAGGAATTAGCCAATGAAACGGCCTGCTTTGGCGAGTTCTTGGCGTGCTGTACACAGAACTGTGGGTAGACCACTAGAAACGTCAACACTGATTAATTAATCAATGTCTGATGTCATAGTGTCAAAAGCCGCTCGTAAGACCCCTAATGCGACCTCCCACTACAACTGGTCAGATCTTCATGTAGTAGAGGCTATCGAAAGGATAAAATAACGAAGCAAAATTTCGATCAGTAATTTAATCAGATTGGCAGTACTTGTTGTTATAGGATAGTATACTCTGCCAAATGCATGGCATTAATCTTTAGATATAATGGGATGCAGCTTATATGAAGATAAATAAACAGTTTTTATTGTATTTTGCCCAGGATAAAAAAACTATTGATGTCCATTTTGAAAAAGAAAAGAGAATGTGGTCACAAAAAAGAGCAACTGGAATTGCCAGGTAAAGTTGTTTTTTTTTAAAAGCCACACCCATGGGTGCTGCTATATAACCCATACATGTGTGGTTTGAAACGGAAACTTGGGTTATAAAGGAAGAAAAAAAAGACTAAGAGTGTAGAGGTCCTAAAACATTAACTTATAAAGTAAACATAGAAATGTATCCCAATAAACATAGAAATTGTATTGTTAACTGTTCAATTTATGTCACTGTAACTCGGCTATCATTTAATCTTGTGTATTTAGCACTAATTTCTTTCACATCCGTTCAATATCAAATCTTCGTTTATAAATCATTTAAAGTCACAAAAAATCATCTGATTTGTACTTGCAGTGTCCTGTTTAAAGGTGACCATTCAATTTTTATAATGAGTGTCCAATTTACAAGTGTTTAATTTCTCATTCACTGTTAAAAAATAAACAACCATTTTGATTATTGATATATAATGATTAATTTTCTTCTATATTTTTCCTTTTTTTTTTAGAATTTTAACACGATTTGAAAAGTTGGAACAGCAGATCTCTGATCGAGCTATGGAAGTGACGCAGACCGTGACTCAATTACAGAATCAACAACGTAAGAAACTGATTAATCATATCAAGAAGAGTATGACGGAAGGAATACATATTAAAAAATCCTGGCAAGAATTGGTTCAAAATCTCACACATGAAAGGTATGTATAGTTTCAGTAGAGGAAAATACTGGGCATCCATGACCATTTTCAGCACAGCTGTTTTCTACATCTGACAAATATACTGATGTAGCATCTTGGGCCAGGACATTGGAGCAAACAGAAAATAACAAACAAATTGCAAGGAAGATGCTACATTTTATACTAGTTGAGAAAATATCAGGAATTTGTGACCAGTTTCAGCATAGTTTGTATTTTTATATCTGAAGAAAAACATTGATGCATATAAACCAGGATATCCTATGTTCGATGACAGGGGGTTGGATGGCAGAATGGTTAGCGTGTGCATGCTGTATCATAAGGCCTGTCATTGAGTCAACTGGCGTGGTTTCGAATCCCCGGTTGTACGTGACAAGGAGTAGGGTTGCCTGTCCAGCCTCATGGGTTTTCTCCCGGTCCTCCGGTTTCCTCCCACTGCTAAAGACCCCTTTGCGCAAGCAAATTATTGAAATAAAATCAAACCATATTTTAGTCCCGAAATGACCTAGTTTGTGTCGAGTGGACGTTAAACCCCATTTCTCTCTCTCTCTGCAAGGAAAATATCAGGAATTTGTGACCAGTTTCAGCAGAGTTTGTTTTTATATGAGAAAAAAAATATTGATTTGGTGTTTAAAAAATACTAGGAATCTGTCACCAGTTTCAGCAGAGTTTGTGTTTTTATATCCGAAGAAAAATATTGATTTCATGAATAATGCATATAAACCAGGATATCCTATGTCCGATGACGGCTGGGGGGGGGGGGGGAGTTGGATGGCGCGCTGTATCATAAGGTCTTTCATTGAGTCAACTGGCATGGTTTCAATTCTGTTTGCTCCAATGCCCTGGCGGGGGGGTGGATGGCCGAATGGTTAGCATGTGCGCGCGCTGTATCATAAGGCCTGTCATTGAGTCAACTGGCGTGGTTTTGAATCCCCGGTTGTACGTGACAAGGAGTAAGGTTGCCTGTCCAACCTCGTGGGTTTTCTCCGGGTCCTCCGGTTTCCCCCCACTGCTAAAGACCCCTATGTGCAAGCGCATTATTGAAATATAATTAAACCATATGTTAGTCCCGAAATGACCTAGCCTGTGTTGAGTGGCCCAATATGCTGAATCAGCACATTTGTAAGATGTAGAAAACACCTGTGTTGAAAATGGTCACGAATGTCACCCTATGTAATACGTATAGGGTCGTCTGTCCAACATTGTGGGTTTTCTCCGGGTCCTCCAGTTTCCTCACATTGCTAAAGAACCCTATGCGCAAGCGAATTATTAAAATAAAATTAAACCATATGTTAGTCCTAAAATGACTTAGTTTGTGTCAATTGGACGTTAAACACCATTTCTCTCTTTCTCGACCGATGTCTGTTTTGTCAAGTGGTTTCCCGGCCACTTGAAGTCAGTGAAGTAGAATATGTAGGGTCTGACGTTAATCTCCATTTCATTTGATTTCTTTTTCCTTATATTATGTTATTTTATTATAGAGCTGTTTGGTTCCATGAAGAATCGTATCCTATATCGTGGCAGTTAGATCCGACAGAAGGTCCTGGTAGGATGAGAAAACGGGTACAGAGATGTCATCTTGGTATACCAGAAAAATTTCTTACAGATGAAAACAAGAAAACTTTAGGTATGTATACAAATATTTGTGAGTTGCTCCCACAAAACCAGGCTCTTAGTCATTTTTATAAAAATGGAGCTGGCAGCATATTTGAATAGTCCACAGCCTAAGTTTTCCGAAAATGCAATTCTTTTTAAATTTACGGTATTATCTGGAATTCGGCTCATACGCGGCAACATTATAAAATGAAGTTGTGCGACAAGAGCCTGGTTTCATGGGAGCGGGTCACATTTTATTGTTCAAATGTTCAGGCCCCGGTTTCACCAAATACTCCCAGACTTATGTTAAGAATTTACTCAAAATTGTTTGCCTTATTGTAAAAAGATTATTGTCCTTTATAAAACCATTGCTGTTTTAATGTATCAAATACATCAATAAGTAACTATATGTTTCTGGATCAAAGATATTTCTCATAAACAGTGATTGAAAGTTGAGTAAGTCTGAGAATGCTTTGTGAATCCAGGGCCTGGGCTGAAATCCCAGCTGAATTTGACAAGAATCTTTGGATTTTCCAACCCAGCTCTCACTTGTCAAGAATGGGACTTGTGGGTTGACAAGGAAAATGTTGCCTTTGTCAGGTCCAACTCACATATTAAAAAAAATCTTGACAATTGGAAATCTAATTAAAGAATTAAAACTTATTTTAATTTGATTTTATTTTTTGCAGAAACTGAGAAATATGATGCACCGTTAAAGTTTTTATTTGAAGATGATCATCAGACATCAGATTCTGCCGCCCTGATTTACAGACTTTACACCAACGAAAAAATTCAGTAAGTGGATTTGTTTATTTTAGGATTGTAGTAAGGGACATCAGCCCCAATATTGGCCGGTTTTAATTTTATTACTTTTTTTTTATTGTTTTCCAAATCTAAATCTCGCCATCATTTGAAAGAAGATAGATTTGATATTTTTTTTTTTAAATTCAGACATAATGTATGCCTTTGTGTTTCTGTTCTATATTTAGTTTTGCAGCTCAAAGAAGATTTATTGTAATTTAGAATTTCATTATTTTTCTGTTTTCAGGCACACATGTCGATGTATGGCCGTTTCACCATCTTCAGAAAGCAAAGGAGATTTATTAGTTGGTAAGTTTGTTGCTTTATTCAAATATAGCTTGTTTAAAATATTTTGTTAAAGATCAATTTGAACAAATTTTCACCTTCACTACAAAAATAGCTGGGGGTTTGGATGACCGAATGGTTAGCACATGTCATAAAGTCTGTCATTCAGTCAACTGGCATGGTTTGCCTTCCCCGGTTGTACGTGACAAAGAGTAGGGTCGCCTGTCCAACCTTGTGAGTTTTCTCAGGGTCTTCCGGCTTCCTCCCACTGGTAAAGACCCCTACATGCAAGCTGACTATTGAAATAAAATTAAACCATATGTTTGTCCCAAAATGACCTTGTTTGTGTCGAGTGGATGTGCTTGTTTCAGGTGAGTTGTGTATATTTTTATTTTATGTTTGTTTAAGGTGAGATGTGTATATTTTTTGTGGGAGACGAGGCCATTACAGATGCTAATTACACTCAAGTAGGTTATATCATACTTTGATTTCAGTATTATTATCCCTGCATTTGCCGAGAAAGTTGATTGAGTTTTTTTGGCGTGGTTCCCCTTTGTACACATTGTTTGCATGTAAAAGATCCCTTGGCAGCTGGAATTTGATATAAGGGTAGACTGTAGCGCTGCTGTATGGGAAAAATTCCCCTCATAGCACACTGTATGGCATATGCCTTTTTTTATTAGCCCAGTCGGTGCAGAACAGTAGGTTGTTAAACCCCATTTCATTTCATTTCACTTACGACTGGGCCATCCGGTGTTAAGTGAATGTGATTGGAAATTAAAAATAGAATATTCTAAAATGTTGTTTAAAATCAATAGAAAGTAACCATGACTTTAGGGTTTTAATTATCATATTTTTATAATCTACAGGTTTTATTGGGTAATAAGGATGAGTTATCGATGACATGGCCACATGCGAATATCCGTGAATTACACAAACGCTGGTATCAACTACAGGATGTGGGTCTAGAAATATTTCTAACCAATGGTAAAACATGTCTTCTGGCGTTCACCAATACAAAGGTAAATATTGATCTTATATATACGATAGGTTACGGTGGCTGAATGGTTAGCACGTGCGCGCTGTATCATAAGTCATTGAGTCAACCGGCGTGGTTTCGATTCCCTGGATGTACGTGACAAAGAGTAGGGTCGACTGTCCAACCTTGTGGGTTTTCTCCGGATTCTCGGGTTTCCTCCCACTGCTATAAAGACCCCTACGGGCAAGTGAATTATTGAATAAAATTGAACCATGTGTTAGTCCCGAAACGACCTAGTTTGTCTCGAGTGGATGTTAAACCACATCTCTCTCTCTCTCTCTCTCTCTCCGTGGTTTTCCCTTGTCAGTGAGGGCCTGACAAGGACAGCTGTCTAGTCGTTCGGATGAGACGAAAAACCTAGGTCCTGTGTACATATTGACGTGCACGTAAAAGATCCCTTGCCGCTGCCCGGGCAAAATTTCCCTCATAGCACACAGTATGGCGTGTGCCCGTCTTCATTAGCCAAGGTTAGGAGCAGAACAGTAGGATGTTAAACCCCATTTCATTTCATTTCTCTCTCTCTCTCTCTCCCCCTCTCTATCTCCCTTTTATTGAAATAAAATTGAACCATATGTTAGTCACGAAATGACCTTGATTGTGTCAAGTGAATGTTAACCCTCTCTCTCTCTCTCTCTCTCTCTCTCTCTCTCTCTATGCTGGTCTTAAACTAATCTATGTGAAGTTTTGATAACAAATTTAATGCTTTTTCCAGGAAAGAGATGAACTGTACGTGTTTTTACAAGGTTTAGAGTTACCTAACTTGATGGTTACCCAGAATTTAGATGTCGTACAACAGATGTGGTTGGACGGTTTACTTACAAACTACGATTATTTAATCTACCTCAATAAAATAGCTGGACGATCTTTCAGCGATCTGATGCAATATCCAGTCTTTCCGTTTATCTTACGAGAATATGAAAGTGATGTATTGGATTTAGAGGATCCATCTGTTTACAGGTACTGTTTAATGCTCAATTAATTTGTTGTTTTTTTTACATTGTGCATCACATTACATTGTCAGTATGTCTAGAGATTTAAATATAAAAGCATTTTCCTGTGTAAAGCGGATTCAGACTGGGTCTCTTGTAGTCAGTATTTGGTAATCAAGGCTATGATAGGGAATCACCATTTTGAAACAGTGAGCAATTAGAGTCTATTTGCAGTGATCTGCTAGACTATAATTGAAGAGACTGATTACTGTGATTCACTAAAGTATGATTGCAGTGACCAGCTAGACTATGATTGCATTGATCAACTAGAGCATAATTGCAGTGATCAACTAGCATGAATTGCAGTGATCAGCTAGAGTATAATATCCGTGATCAGCAAGAGTATGATTACAGTGATCAGCTAGAGTATGATTGCAGTGATCAGCTAGAGAATGATTGCAGTGATCAGCTAGATTATGATTGCAGGGATCAGCTAGAGTATGCTTGCAGTGAACAGCTAGAGTATGATTGTTTTAACTATAGGAGAATGGCAATTTTGAAATATGAATTTTGTATGTTGATTCCTTTTTTTTGACAGAGATTTAAGTAAACCAATAGCTGTTCAGGATAAATCTAGAGAGAAGAAATACGGTGATAATTACGAGGTAAATCACCATTTTATTATTTTAATTGTTTTACCTTGAAGAGTGTCCGTTTAACCGTAATTGAGAAATAAATTGGTTGTCTGAGAGAACACCCTAGGTGGAAGGCGCTGTATATCTTCCAGTCCTGAAAAATGATATACCAAATTGTAATGGTGATATATAGATTTGTGCCTGCCTCGTCGTCAGAAATTGTTGTATTTACTCAACTGACAATCGGTGGATTTAAAATTTGGAACATTCCATCAAGTATTGCTTTATAACATTGATTGGTCAGCCAAATTTTATTATGCATGATATATAGACTGAAAATGTCTACTCTTAATCAGTAAGAAAAACATGAAAACTGGCTGATTAATAACTTTGATGTTTGTTTTTCAGTTTTTACAGCAAGAGTATGATAAGAATATTGAGATAGAACATTTAATACGAGTTCCACCATATCATTATGGTAGCCATTATTCTAATAGTGGTACTGTTTTACACTATCTAGTAAGATTACCTCCCTTTACACAGATGTTTCTCTCATATCAGGGTAAGTTTAATTAACATCAGATATTTTTCTTTTTGTCTCTTAATTTGTACCAGGACTTGCTCTTCAAATCTGACTGTCCGCCTATATATTTTCCTATTGTTCTCTTATCATTTGGATACGGATTGTTTGTTCATATTGTGTCTTTTCTGTGGAATTTATTACCGCTAAACATTAAACTCTCATCCAGTAGACGTGGTACAAGGGTTAATCAGCGAACTGGATGTATGAGATGTGTTGTTGACGTTTGGGAAAGTAGGACGAGGGGAAATGTGTAGGGAGTGAAGTGCTGTAAAGGGATAGTTAGATGTATTATGAATGGTTAGCGTGGCTGTGGTGTTACGGTGAAATACTATGCCGCCACCGTAACACCACAGCTTTATGATTTGTTAGACAGGAGTGATGTAATGGGTGTCAACAACTGGGTATGCTGGTACCGTCGCAACGTAGCCGTGAAATATATATTGTGGGGGGGAAGGGCGGAAATGGAAAAATATACAATGTTGACAGTATGTGCCAGGCATGAGGCTGCGCAGACCGAGCGGCAGCTCGATAGGAAGTGTGTGGGAGGGTCACCCTCATAAAAAATTTTTTTTTTAAATTTCAGTTTTCTGAAAGCAGTGAAAACACTATTTTGGCATTGTTTGCGGGGTTAAACCTAAAAATCACATTAATACACCTATTGCACGATATTGTGAAACTAGCTGACGAAGACAGCTCGGGCGGCGATTGTTCGACTCGGGGCTGCTCTGTCAGTATCTAACAAACGCATTTAGTTCGCGTACAACTTTTAAAAACCGAATGTCAGTATGGTATTTCTCACATAATTGGTTATCGCAAAAACAGAGTAAACTCTCATCCAGCCTAGAAACATTCAAAGCTAATTTAAAAACTCATCAATTTACGGCCTATTATGGCACCCAGTCTGTGTAACACCTTAAGCATGCATACTAGCATGGAACATTGCACGATATAAATATACATATTATTGTCCCCCGCCTTTCGAAGAAAGCAGGGGACTATTAAAATGGGTTCGTCCGTCTGTCTGTCTGTCCGTCTGTCTGTCCGTCTGTCTGTCCGTCCGTCTGTCTGTCCGTCACACTTTTTGGGACACAATAACTCTCTTCCTAATTGAGCTAGAATGTTCAAACTTGGTGTATGTGTTTATTAGGTCAATGCCTTGATGGAGTTCGAAGATGAGCATTTTCCGCTTAGGGTAAGCAGAGATAAGCAATTTGATTGGTTGATGCTTTGGGACACGATAACTCTCTTCCTAATTGGGCTAGAATGTTCAAACTTGGTGTATGTGTTGATTAGGTCAATGCCTTGATGGAGTTCAAAGATGAGCATTTTCCGCTTAGGGTAAGCAGAGATAAGCAATTTGATTGGTTGATGCTTTGGGACACGATAACTTTAGTTCTAATTAAGTGAGATTGATGAAACTTGGTGTATAGTTTCATTACAGTAATACCTTGACTAAGTTTGATAATGAGCATTTTCTGCTCAGGGTAAGCAGAGCGATACGCAATTTGATTGGTCGAGACTTTGGAAAACAATAACTCTCCTACTTTGATTGTCCCCCGCCTTTCGAAGAAAGCAGGGAACTATTAAAATGGGTTCGTCCATCTGTCTGTTTGTCTGTCTGTCCGTTCCGCTTATTTTTGATAAATTTATATGTGTCCTCTAATTATTTTCCAATTTCGGCGGGGGACATCAGCCTCACTGTTGGCTTGTTATTATTACTTTGTACCAGGACTTGCTCTTCAAATGTGACTGTCCGTCTATCTGTTTTTTGGTCCGTCATACATATTAGGAAACAATAAGTCTTCTTCTGATTGAATTAGAATGTTTAAAGGGCCAATCCCGAATATATTTTGGAGAATACAAATGCTTAATTTTGTGTTAAAAGTCCTTAAAATATTCTACTTTTTCCATAGAATACAATCACTGTTTATTCCATAGACTATAATTAGGCTACTGTTTATTCTGTGGATTACAGGGGGGTTGGATAGCTGAATGGTTAGTGTGTGCGCGCTGTATCATAAAGTCTGTCATTGAGTCAACTGGCGTGGTTTCGAATCCTCGGTTGTACATGACAAGGAGTAGGGTCGCCTGTCCAACCTCATGGGTTTTCTCCGGGTCCCCCAGTTTCCTCCCACTGCTAAAGATCCCTACGCCCAAGCGAATTATTGAAATAAAATTAAACCATTAATGTTAGTCCCGAAATGACCTAGTTTGTGTCGAGTGGACGTTAAACCCCATTTCTCTCTCTGTGGATTACAATCACTGTTTATTCCATAGAATACTGTGTCCGGTGTATTTCCAGTTCAATTGTGTACTGTTTTACCCAGAATTAGAGTCGACCATCTGTCAGATGTATATAATTATATCTACTAATTTGTTTTCAAAAACACACTTTTATGGATAACAATTACTATGGTTTATTTCACTGCGACGTTTCAACAAGGTTTCACAAGTCGTTATCAAGCATATATACAAATAAGATAAAAAATGAGAAAGATATGAATATAAATACAAACATCAGTGCGAACTATCCAATGGAATGCAAGGTGAGTGAGCATGATTAGCTATAACAAGCTATTGATGTAACAAAGGTGCATAATCGTATATATTAGAGTTGGCTTATTGTACAATTAAAAGATGAAACAGGGCATTAACCAAGATACTATACTAATTTGTTTGTTTCAGATGGTAGTTTCGATATCCCAGATCGAACATTCCATTCAGCCCGGACATCTTGGCGCTTATCGAGTTACGAATCTCAGACGGATGTTAAAGAACTTATCCCAGAATTCTTCTTTTTGCCTGATTTCTTCAAAAATACCGAAGGTAAGTTATGATAGATGTATTGTAATTAAATGCAATAGAACGAAATGGGGTTTAACATTCTACTGTTTTCTGTTTTGCACCAACATGAGCATAAGTCATGCAGTGTGCGAAGGACAGTTTGTCTAGACACCTACTCTTTACCAAATTCCAACTTATATTGTAATAAGGAGCCACGGTGGCTAAGTGGGTAAGATGCTGGCTTGCTAGTATTAGAAGTTGCGTGTTCGATCCCTGCATTTTCCGAAAAAGTTCGTCAGGTTCTTCCGGCGTGGTTTCCCCTTGTCAGTGATGCATGATGGAGGGCTTGACAAGGACAGCTGTCTAGTCGTTCTGATGTGATGATAAACCAAGGTCTTGTGTATACATTGGCGTGCACGTAAAAGATTCCTTGGCAGTTGGAATTCAATATAAAAGAATGCCATAGTGCCACTGCCCATCTTTATTAGCTCAGTCGGAGCACAACAGTAGAATGTTAAACCTCATTTCATTTCATTTCTTTGTGGTACCATCAAAATGATTAGATGCTTCTCCTTCCTAACAGAATACGCACTTGAAAGTCCGAAGGAAATTTCTCATCCAACACTAGGAAGAAGAAAAGTAGGATGTTAAACCCCATTTCATTCATTATTCCTCCTAGACTCTGTATTTCTGAACAAAAATACTGGAATTAAAATGTGACGAGTGACATTGATTATCTTAGACACTCAATAAGGCATTGAGCTTTTTTTTCAGGTTTTAATTTTGGCCGTCGACAGAATGGTGAAGTGGTGTGGGATGTATCATTGCCGACCTGGTGTAAAAAAGATGCCAGATTATTTATATTAATTCATCGACAGGCGTTGGAATCGGCTTACGTATCTCGTAGAATTAACCATTGGATTGATCTGGTTTTTGGATACAAACAAAAAGGAGAAATGGCAAAAAAATCTTTTAACGTTTTTCATCCTTCTGTAAGTTTTCATATTTCTAGACTTTTAATAAAACATAAAAAATGGTGGAGAGCTTTCATTGGCTGAGAGTTCAAATTTAAGAAATGGGTATATATTCTTCCATATTCATGAATATTTATGTGTAAATTCTGAAACCAGCTGGGAAGAAAATGTTCCCACCTGTAATATTGATAGGCACTTTGGTCGACCGTTTATCCTTATTTTGTGTGCTGTATCATAAGGTCTGTCATTGAGTGCCTGTCCAAATGGGTTTCCTCCCATTGCTAAAGACCCCTACACGCAAGCGAATTATTGAAATAAAATTGAACCATGTGTTAGTCCCGAAATGACCTAGTTTGTGTCGAGTGGACGTTAAACCCCATTTCTCTCGCTCTCCCTTATTTTCTCCCTTATTGTCACATGCCATTGGGGAATCAAAATAATACCACTTCCCCCCCCTCACTGGTAAAAGATCCCTACCCCTACACTACAAGCGAATTATGTTAATCCCTAAATAACCCAATCTGATTAAAATACAGATTTATACTTTCGATGGCCTCTGCTACATGAAGATCTGACCAGTAGTGGGAGGTTGTGTCAGGGGTCATACAGGCACCTTTTGACCCTCTGACATCAGACATTTGATTAACCAATCAACATTGATGTTTCTAGTAGGATACCCCCAGTTCCATGCATCGCACACCAAGAACTCGCTGCAACAGACCGTTTCATTGGCTAATCCATCACTTTAACCAGAATGCGAATTATATAACAACCCTTCCAGATCCTAGTGTAGTAAAGACAAGTAAAAAAAAATTTTGAACTATAAAAACGAAACGAAATAGGATCTGTGTAAATGTAATCAGATTGATAAATAACCTATTTTGTGTCAGCTGGATGTCTCTCTCTCTCTCTCTCTCTCTCTCTCTCTCTCTTTCTCTCTCTCTTTCTCTCTCTCCTTCTCTCTCTCTCTACTTGTTGTGTCACTTGGTCAATGTAGATTTTTCATTTTCTTCTCTTCTACTGTCTTCTCTTAGTTTAAGTTTTTATTCCTCTAGCCACAATGATGTTTGTCATAATATTTCCATGATTTCTTTCGATTTATATTATTATGTTGTTATTTTTCCAGACATATTTTGGGATGGATGTTGGCAAGATAAACGACCCGTTAAAAAGACAAGCGATGTTAACCATGATAAAAACATACGGTCAGACGCCAAAACAACTGTTCAGAGCACCTCACGTGTCTTTATCTAAATCTAACGACAGTCTACTTTCACAGATCTTCAACCCGACATCTAATAATGGAGATACGGAGGAACGAAATAGAAACTATATTGTAAGTGCCGGTTCTGTGTTCAATAATGTTACAAATCATTTATATAGTTCCTAAAATTCATTACCATGAGGTTTGGTTGAATGGCCGAATGATTAGCACGTGCACGCTGTATCATATGGTCTGTCATTGAGTCAACTGGTTTGATTTTGATTCCCCGGTTGTATGTGTCAAGGAGCAGGGTCGTCTGTCCAACTTCGTGGGTCTTCTCCAGGTCCTCCGGTTTCCACCCACTGCTAAAAACTCCTATGCGCAAGCGAATTATTCAAATAAAATTGAATCATATGTTAGTCCCGAAATGACATAGTTTGTGTCAAGCAGATGTTAAACCCCATCTCTATCTAATTATATAACCCATGGAATCAGTACTCACAGTAGTCCAGCTGGGATTATAAGAGAGTGGTGATTAAATAAGTTTAAAGATTTGTGTTTTGTTTCCAGCCTCGTCCAATCAACAGCGTATCTGGATTAAAATGGGGTAATTATGTTGGATCCCCCGATTATTTACCTCCCGTTCCAACCTGGAGAGAAGTCTATCCATGTGTTCTCACTAGTCTGGTACCATTAGCATCAGGTTTTGTATTTGGTGTTCCTGCTAACTCTTGTGTTCTAGTTTTACATTCCAAAGACAGGGGTTCACGTAAGTACAAACTTTGATTAAACTTTCGTTATCAAATATATAAATATATTAAAGATATTCACAGATTTAATGTAGCTGGGATTATGTATAACAGTTGCAAGGGTATAAAGGGTTAATAGTATCGTCAGACTTCGTTGTTGTTGCTTTCTTTTAATTAATTCATTAACCTTTTCTTGTTAACTCTTAAGCACTTGGTACATGTAAATACTGACTACCCTTGTTAACCCTTTAGCACTAGTAACATGTAAATTCTGACTACCCTTGTTAACTCTTTAGTACTTGGTACATGTAAATATTGATTACCCTTGTTAACCCTTCAGTACTTGGTATATGTAAATATCGATTACCCTTGTTAACCCTTTAGTACTTGGTACATGTAAATACTGACTATCCTTGTTAACCCTTTAGTACTTGGTATATGTAGATATTGACTACCCTTGTTAACCCTTTATCACTAGTAACATGTAAATATTGATTACCCTTGTTAACCCTTCAGTACTTGGTACATGTAAATATTGATTACCCTTGTTAACCCTTTAGTACTTGGTACATGTAAATACTGACTATCCTTGTTAACCCTTTAGTACTTGGTATATGTAAATATAGACTATCCTTGTTAACCCTTTAGTACTTGGTATATGTAAATACTGACTACCCTTGATAACCCTTCAGTACTTGGTATATGTAAATATTGATTACCCTTGTTAACCCTTCAGTACTTGGTACATGTAAATATTGACTACCATTGTTACCCCTTTAGTACTCGGTACATGGAAATACTGACTACCCTTGTTAACCCTTTAGTACTTGGTACATGTAATTATTGATTAATCAGTTCCTTGATGAAAATTAAAGTGATATATTAATACCAGTATATGCCTGAACAGACCGAGATGTGTGAATGTACATTATCTCTCTCTTTTTTTTAGGAGATATGGTATTTACGTCTAATTTCATGTGGGCAGCCATTTTAAGTTGGAAAGATCAAGATGGTGTGTTACGAATCAGTAATCAATTATCCAAGCCCACTGTTAATTTCCTTATACACAGTCCTTATGATGAGGTGAGTTAATTTCCTTATATACAATCCTTATTCACAGTCCTTATGATGAAGTGAGTTAATTTCCTTATTCACAATCCTTATGGGGAGGTGAGTTAATTTACTTATTCACGGTCCTTATGATGAAGTGAGTTAATTTCCATATATACAATCCTTATGGTGAGGTGAGTTTGTTTCCTTATTCCTAAGGATGAGGTAGATTGAGTTAATTTCCTTATTCAAAGCCCTTGAGTTAATTTTGTTATACACTGTCCCTATGATGAGCTGAATTTCTGTATACACTGTCTTTATGTTGAGTTGAGTAAATTTCCTTATACACAGTCCTTATGACATGGTCGGTGAGGGGAGTTAATTTCCTAATGAGTTGAGTTGATTTCCGTATACACAATCCTTATGATGAGGAGGTGCATCCAGTTAATTTCCTTATTCGCAGTCCTTATGATGAGTTGAGTTGAGTTAACTTGCTTTTTATAATTGTGGCTTATTATTTGACAGGGATCACGGTGGCTAAGTGGTAAGACCCTGGCTCGCTAGTCTGAGGTCGGGTGTTCGATCTCTGCATTGGCCGAGAAAGTTCATCCAGATTTTCCGGTGTTTTTCCCCCTTGTCAGTGATGCCTGACAAGGACAGCTGTCTAGTCGTTCAGATGGGACGAAAAACAGAGGTCCCGTGTACACATTGGCATGCATCTAAAAAATCACTTGACAGTTGGAATTCGATATAAGAGTAGGCCGTAGTGTCGCTGTCTAGGCAAAATTTCCCTCATAGCACACTGTATGGCGTATGTCCGTCTTCATTAGCCCAGTTTGGAGCAGAACAGTAGGACGTTAAACACCAATTCATTTCATTTTTATTATTTGACTATATTAATATTATTGATGTATTTCAGATCACATGTTGTGCAAGTGTACCAGATTGTCATCTGTTATTTATAGCTGGTGTTAATGGGGTTATAGATGTTTATACCACGGCTCATAACAGTGCTAAGGTACAGATTTATACTTTTATCCCGCATAACTATATGGAATACAGTTATTGTTTATTAGAGAATCATAGTCAAAACATGGGGGGTTGAATGGCCGAATGGTTAGCATGTGCGCTCTGTATCATAAGGTCTGTCATTGAGTCAACTGGCGTGGCTTCGATTCCCGGTTGTACATGACAAGGAGTAGGGTCGCTTGTCCAACCTCATGGGTTTTCTATGGGTCCTCCGGTTTCCTCCCCCTGCTAAAAACTCATACAAGCAAGCGAATTATTGACTACAGACCCAGACTACATTTTGACCTCACTCCACTGTAATCCTATACATGTATGCACCTAAATGAACAGAAATATTGTCTCAAAGCTTCTGATTTTATCAAATTTGCATGTAGTTCACCTCTACCTAACGCCAAACTTGATGCTGTCTCAACCTTGGACACCCATCTGCTCAACATCCTGGGCACGCCCCTGAAATGTCTCACATTATTAGCCAGTAATTGTAAGCTTATCTCAGAATGACCTGTGTATTTCCAGTTTATTACTGGGTGGCATTTGTTTAAAGGGCTAATCCCGATCATTTTTTTGAGAATAAAACTGTTTTTATTTTGTTTTAAAATCCCTGAAAATCCTCTACCTAAGGGCCGAGCAACTAACTCAATATTTGTGATAAGTTTTCAAATAACTGAAACCCGTCAGTCTTCATCTGGAAATGGAAACCGGTGTCCCAAGCTGTATTATGCAGTGTCTAGATAAAACCAGACATTTTCTGTATAAAAATAATGCGTAGGTGAAATTTACCTTTCATTATCAAGTACAGCATTTGGGTCATTCACTGTATAGACCTTTCAATGAACGGGAATCGATTATCAGGTCTCCCAACGAAAAAATTGACCCGAAATCTTAAAAGGGTTACGTGTCCGGATAAGCAGTTTTGATAGTCACGTCCAAATGACTCAATATTTTGAGCTGAAATTTTGAGATATGGTCAATACACCATACTCAGACTTTTATTTTTGAGACTCTGTTCAAATAAGGGATGGTCCCTTTAATATAGGTTAGAGAATGCTAATTAAGACGTAGCTTCATGACTGTATGCCATAGAATTGTGGCCGGTGCATTTTAAGTTTAATATCATTTAATCAATTTATTTGGGAGATATAGATCTGTAGCAACAATGTTTATTTTATCGTGTCTATACTTCGTGGAAATGACAATCAGTCATGTGTAAATGGGTGGACTTCTTTTTTTGTGGACCGTCCAAACAACTAGGCACAGTTTTCTTGTCATGTTTACTGGTGCCACCCCTGCCTATTAAAATCCAGGCTTGAAGGAGAGATAGAACAATGAATGTAGTTCAGCATCCTTGATATCCCCAGTGGTCTCAGTCCATTCTACTCCACTATACCCTGGGTTCATCCATTGGGTATTCTCATATTCAAATTATCTGCCCTTGATCGAAGCTTGATTCTAAAAACCAATCAAAAAACAGTTTACAAACCAGTCCTATCCTCATTGCTTGCATTTACAATATGGCAGCGTCTTTGTTGCAACAAGATCAAAGTTACTTAACGATTTTTTGGATCGGTTGATAAAAATAGCACAGTCATCAGGGGCAGATAATTTGAATATGTGTCACCCCCATGGATGAACCCAGGGGTTAATGGAGTTGACTGGAATGAGACCACTGGGGATACCAAAGAGTGGTTGTTATCTGTGTGTAAGATACATTTTAAGAAAATATAAATATTTGTATTTTGTTTTTTTCAGGCGAGTGAGATTCAGGTGTTTGGTACTGGTAAATGTTTATATGGTCATACTGGACGTATTAATACGCTGTGTGTGTCCAATAATTTTAGTATAGTTGTCAGTGGTAGTGAGGACAATACATGTATTATATGGGATCTTAACAGGTACTTAACTATTATCTTTACTAATATTTGTCACTGTCTTTTGTCTTTCTGTTTGGAGGGTTGGATGGCAGAATGGTTAGCATGTTCGCACTGTTAGCACGTCTGTCATTGAGTCAACTGGCAGGGTTTCAATTCCCTGGATGTACGTTACAAGGAGTAGGATCGCCTGTCCAACCTCGTGGGTTTTCTCCGGATCCCCCGGTTTCCTCCACCTGCTAAAGACCCCTACGCGCAAGCGAGTTATTGAAATAAAATTGAACCATGTGTTAGTCCCGAAATGACCTAGTTTGTGTCGAGTGTAGGTTAAAACCCTTTCTCTCTCTCTCTCTATCTTTTTGTTCAGGGTTGGCGGCTATAATAGGGCTGCCCCAAGGTTGACATTTGGTGTATAGGGGTAGCTCAACCGGGGAGTAACATGGGCTAGGTTGCGTTGGACTATTTTCCACCCCAGGAAGCACCGGGTCATCTGCTAGTACAAAATAATTTTGGAGCCTTTGCTGGCTTAGTGAGTAAAACACTGGCTCACAAACTAGGAGTACTCAGGGTCGCTCCTCGTGTTGGCGTGCATGGAAAAGAAACCTTGATAGTTGGAATTCAAAATAAGAGTAGGCCGTAGTGCAATATTTCCTTCCTAGCACACTGTATGGTGAATCAGCATCTTCATCAGTTGGTGCCGAAAATTCATTTCTTTTTATTTCACTACACGTAAACTCAAGCCAATGTTGCCGTCTTCCAAGTATTTTTATATATTTGAATGTTGATGTTCGTGTTATTTCAGGTTGTCGTATGTACGGAGTATCAGAAATCACGATAGCGGTGTAAAAGTTGTAACAATAAGTGATACACTTGGTGATATCGTCAGCGTTAGTTATACAGGTACGTAAAAGTCAAATTTGTTTCTATGGAAACACCAAATCAGTTGCTTCGCAGAATTTTCTAATTTACAAAAGGCTAAAGATCTATAATAGGTTGATGTGTGTAGAAAGGTTCATAAAGATTTCTTGAATGGTTTATGTGATATGCTCATTCCTCCCACTGCTAAAGACCCCTACGCTCAAGCGAATTATTGAAATAAAATTAAACCATATGTTAGTCGCGAAATGACCTAGTCTGTGTCGAGTGGACGTTAAACCCCATTTCTCTCTCTATTAATGGTATATCCTTCCCTTACAGCCACTGTATTTGAATGAAATCAGTAATTCAATGCTGTATTAAAGATATATTATGTAAGATTTAGATAAAGGGCTGACCATCCCTGCTATAAAAAAAATAGTTTAAAAATAGAAAAGTAGAAATTAATATATTGAAAATCTCAGTCAAATTACTTTATTCTGAGCAAAGTTATGAATATTTGAAGTATTGACAAAAATAGCATAGTCTTGATAACCATCACTACGATAATAAACAAAATCTGGATTTGCCATTTTATCGTTAACTAATTAAATGGTGCTGATGGTCTAATTCACTTAATATCCAAGCCATTATGGGCTTGTCATGTGAATAGATGTATAAATAATAATTTATAATAAAATTTGAAGCAATAGGCAGATTTAACTGTTATGCTAGATTCCTCCTGTCGTGAGATGTGTTACCATAGGATTGTGTCAATCTGATTAAAATACAGATCTATATTTCGTTTTGTTTTTATAAATTCGATGGCCTCTACTACATGAAGATCTGACAAGTTTTAGCGATAGGTCACGTCAGGGGTCAAAAGACCGACTTATGACACTATGACATCAGACATTTGATTAACCAATCAGCATTGATGTTACTAGTGGATTACCCACAGTTCCGTGAAAAACACGGCTAAAGCTCGCCGTAACAGACCGTTTCATTGGCTTATCCCTGACACCATTCAGAACACGAGTTAAATAACAACTCTTCCAGATCCAAGTGTAGTAAAGACAAGTAAAATCAGAAATTTTGAACTATAAAAACGAAACGAAATAGGATCTGTGTTTTAACCAGATTGGTATTGTCCCTACTGAACCCATGATCTGGTACTTGATACGTTCGGATACAATCAACAAGATTGCCACGACTGACCTCAGTCACGGCACGAATCGTGACAGTGTGAACCTAGCATTATATAACACATATTTAAAGCAGAATAATCTGAACCATGTTTATTTGGAATGTTACAGATACCGGGAGTATTATGTGTCTTCACTCAATTAATGCTGAACCAATCGCCACTCAGATCTGTGATGAAAGGATTAATTGTTTAGCGTATTCATACGCACCTGAAGGAAGATCTATAAATGTTGTTGCTGGTGGATTGAGCACGGGTGTTGTTAGGTCAGTATTAATGTTTTTCATTTATCAATATTTTTAAAATGTTGTTTACATTTTTCAATATGGTTTACATGTATCTATATGATTTCAATGTTGTTCATATTGATCAATATTATTTAAATGTTGTTTACATTTATGCGTATGATTTAAATGTTTTTTACACTGATCAATATGATTTAAATGTTGTTTACATTTATCTGTATGATTTAAATGTTGTTTACACTGATCAATATGATTTAAATACTGTTTACATTATTATTATTATTATTATTATTGTTCGATTTATATAGCGCTTCATTTATCAATATTATTTAAATGTTGTTTACATTTATCTATATGATTTAAATTTTGTTTTCATTTATCAGTATGATTTAAATGTTGTTCATTTTTATCAATATTTTTTAAATGTTATGGTGTGATCTGTCAACACCATTTTTAAGATGGGCAAGATATATTCTATTGAATTCAAATGATCAATTTGGGGGATAATTTTGGTGCTTTTTCCGATTTTTAGAAATGAATTATGTGTTTCCATGGAAAAATAACTGACATACATCTTTGATGTACAAAGGCACATGATATTGATGACTGAGTATTCTTGTTTTCAATAATCAGTTTTATTTTATTTTTTAAAGGTTGTGGAGTAGCTGGGATTTATCACCATTAAAAGATTTACAACATGAAAAATCTATTGATAGACCAGTAGTCGGGTACGTACTAGTCTTAATATTAATTAATAGTTTCTGAATTAACAGAATTACAATTGAGTGACAACCAAGAGTTCAGTTCTGACAGTATTGAAATCGTTTGATGCACAGAGTTCAGGTCTTTCAGACTAGTATATGCGTAAGACAGAGTTCAGTTCTGACAGTATTGAAATTGTTTGACACACAGTGTTCAGTTCTTTCGAAACTGTAATCTGGTGACACAGAGTTCAGTTCTGTCAGTAGTGAAATCGTGTACATAGTTGTTCATGTTAAATATTGTAAAATGTGGTGGCTGGTTGAGATAATTTGTTCATTCTAGACCCGGATTCATTGAAATAGTTATGTCATTTGTAAAAACTGAATCAAAGTATATATACTCAAAATATCTATTTAATAAACGGGTTCAATTTGATATATATGTATATATAGTAAGCATATTTCATTATCTGTTTTTAAAAAAAAAAGTGAAGTAAATATATTATGACAAAAAGTGTTCATAACATTATACTCTATCTATAATTTGTATTAAGCATTCTATGGCCTGGAGAAAATTTTTTTTTTCAAAAATGAATTTAATTTTACCATTTTTTGTTCCTTTTGAAAAGATTACAGAGGGCCTGACACTACCTGTATCCAAGGGCTTCTAAAAATCTTAATTCTGCTCTGCCCTCATCATTGAACTGGGTTTGACCTGGAACAGTATAAATTCATTTCTCTATGATCTTTTTCTAAAGGGAACTGCGATTGCGTAGTGGGTAAACGTTGGCTTGCTAACCTCAAGGTCCTGTTGGCCGAGATAGTTCATTAGCATTTTCCGGCATGGTTTCCTCCTGTCAGTGGTGCAGGACAGATGGTGTGGCAAGGGACAATGTGTAGTCGTTCGTATGGGACAAAAACCAAGGTTCCATGTACACATCGGTGGACACGTAAAAGAACCCTTGGCAGTTGGGTTCGATATAAGAGTAGCTTTCTATCAAAGATTCCACTCATAGCACACTGTATATACCTGTCTTAAATAGCCCAGTAGGAGCAGAACAGTAGGACATTAAACCCCATTTAATTTCATTCTTTTTCTATATTTCAGTTTGACGTTTAGTATCGACTCACAGCGTCTGTTTGTGTCAGCGGCAGACGGCAGTATCACATTGTGGGAAAAACAATCGTCAAGAAATAAACGTGACACTTTTGTACCTCTTCTAGGCAAATAAAGAGTGTTATAGGGTGTTCAATATGATATTAACTGTAATACTCTGTAACTTGAATTACGATCATGAACAGTATTTTATCACTGAAGCTAGTCCCTTGCAAATTTTAGTCATTGATATCCATATCTAGACACATATCGTACACCCTAGAGCTGTAGTTCAAACTCTTTACATCATCAGGATCATTGTACACCCTAGACATCATCCAGAGCTGGAGCACAAACCCTCTACACCATCAGGATCATCGTACACCCTAGACATCATCCAGAGCTGGAGTTCAAACCCTAGACACTATCAGGATCATCGTACACCCTAGACATCATCCAGAGCTGGAGTACAAACCCTCTACACCATCAGGATCATGGTCAAGACACATACCATACTTCAGATCCTAGATGTCATCAGTATTCAGTACTGCAACGATTGTGTAAAATAAATGGACTGGATATATAAGTCTAATCTGGTAACAGTGTAGAACTTGTTATGAGGTCAGCATGATAGACATCATCTGAAAACGTGATTGTTATAAGAATTTATTATACCATTAAAACCATAAAGATGATATATACAATGAGTTCAAATATCCAACCTCCATGCCGGCGGTGATCTACAAAACTGATCTCCCCATACCTGATGCAGTCTATTTACATTTCCCTTGTGCATGCTGCATGCTTACTGTCTATTTATAGTACCTCTCAGAGTTAACAACATCAATAGTCAGTATGTTACGGTAGACCATAGACATCATCCACTTGTGTACTACAAACCCGAGATACCATCAGGATCATCATCAAGACACGTACTGCACACTCAATCCATCATTCAGATTCCTACTGCAAAGCTTAGACAGTATTCAGATGAGTAATGCTAACCTTAGACAGCATTCAGATGTGTAATGCTTACCTTTGACAGTATTCAGATGAGTAATGCTAACCTTAAACAGTATTCAGATGTGTAATGCTAACCTTTGACAGCATTCAGATGTGTAATGCTAACCTTAAACAGCATTTAGATGTGTAATGCTTACCTTTGACAGGATTCAGATGTGTAATGCATCTAGATACTGCACACCCTTGACCTCATCCAGATTCAGTTGATCCTAGACATCATCCAGATCTAGACCCCTAGACATAATTTGTTGTTATTAGTCCAATTGACTCACAGAAGACAATATCATCAATTATTTATTGAAAAGGTGTTTTTTATTTTTTCGTGTGTGTGTTTGATAGGGAAGAGAAAGGATTGTGTTTATTTATTGTGCACATTGTTTTTATAATTTTGAGTGCTGGACTTGTCTACTTTCAATATAAACATATGTAAATATATATATATATATATGATGATGAGCATGATGATAGTATTTTAATGCTACATATTTTTTAAAGCTTTTACTGTGCTAGGCTTGGTTACAAGATCAAATTGTCTGTGGGATCTGGTGACTAGGCCCATCCTAGGCCTAGAAGAACAATGTAAACAGTCGAGCACAATGACTTAAAGTGAATTTTTGTTCCTCTACACCTGTTAACAGGTCATCACACACATAGGTCACAGTTATCAGTTTAAGTTTTATTATTGGAGTAGCATCCAGTAAAATTAGGCACAGTAAGCTGGTCACCATAGTAACCAGCAACAAAACCGCTAAATCCAAATGGTGTTTCTGATGTTATATAATTGTTTACATGTTTAATGTGATTAATATAGATGAGAAGTATTTTATTCAAGTGCCTTGATTTATATGGATTAGGAATTTGAAAGAAATTTGTCATAGTGCACTGAAATATTAAAGTCTTAAAATGGCCCATGTATATATGTACCAAACGAACATAAGCTAAAGGACACTAAGGCCCTCTGTACATATAAAGTACACTTAAGCCCTGTGTACATGAATCCAACATACATTAGTCCAAGTGGGGGGGGGGGGGGTAGGTGGCCAAATGGTTAACGTGTGCACGTCATTGAGTCAAGTGGCATGGTTTCTATTCCCTGCTTGTACATAACAAAGAGTAGGGTCACCTTTCCAACCTCCAGTTTCCTTACACTGCAAAAGACCCTAACATACAAGGTGATGATTGGAATAAATTTGAACCATATGTTAGTGCAAAAATAATTTAGTTTTCTATTTCTATCCATATGATAAAAACAAATTTTAAGCACTGCTAAAAAGATCCCTGTGTGCTAGTGATTAATGACATAGAATTGAACCATATGTTAGTCCCAAAATGACCTACTTTGTGTTGGGTGGTCATAAAACCCTCTCTCTCTTTCTCACACATTAGTTAAAGGACACTAAAGGTCAATGTACATGTACATAATATATTATCTACAAATAAACATGAAACATTTAGAAGTAGAAAGGTTGAATATCACCTGGGCAATTTGTAGAACAAATATAGATGAGATTATGAGAATTTTAGAGGCTAATTCATTATTTCAGATTATTATTATAAAATCATGTTTTAAAATAAACTGATTAATTTATTTACATATTTTATGTCTGTATTTTATTTACATGTGTAAACGTAAATGATGAGAAATTGTTGACAGAAAATGGAGTTATCTCCCTTTAACTACAAAAACCCCACAGTATTTCAGATGCTTGAACTGCATTAGTATTTTGATCAAATGTAAGACATATTGGTGATAAACAAATTCCTAAATACAGATTGGTTGTTTTAGATGCATGCCAATAGTGTACACACAGGTGGACCTTAATTTTTGATTGTATCCAAATGTCCAAGTATATATTTCTATATAGATAGTTCTGATTATTCTTCACGGCCTAAGCCAACATTCTTGTTGGGATGCAAGTGTCCTACCCTGGTGACACTGTTGCTGCGAGGTATTTGATGTGACATATTTTGTTATTTGTTTATCAGCAATTAAAACAATAAGTGCTTTTATTTTATATTTAATGGACCTAGTATGTTGAATATAAGCTTATATATATATAATTTTATATTTAATATACTTAGTAAGTTGAAAATGAGCTTGTATATATGCATTTATATTTAATATACTCATAATAGTAAGCTGAATATGAGCTTGTATATATGCATTTATATTTAATATATTTAGTATGTTGAATATAAGCCTATAAATATATAATTTTATATTTAATATACTTAGTGTGTTGAATATACGCCTATATATATATAATTTTAGTAAGTTGAAAATGAGCTTGTATATATAATTTTATATTTAATATAATTAGTAAGTTGAACATGAGTTTGTATCCTTTCACTGTAATATATTGTATATTATGTGACTATAATCTTTGACTATTATAAAACCTTTCAGCATATTGTATATTATATTATAATTATGAATTGTTATATTTTTATTTGTGCTCAAAATAAACCAAAGAAGATGGAATTATTTTATAAACACCAAGTCTTTTTTTATACCCAATTTCTTGTGGATGCAGACTAAAGTTATCATGCTATTAAAGATGCATTATGTAAGATTTAGATAAAGAGCTGACCATTTTTGCTATACTAGTTCCAAAATAGATAATTCAAAATGAAAATATTGAAAATTTCATTCAAATTATGTTATTATGTTATACTGAGTGAAGTTAACACAGTTTGAAGTTTTGAAAAGATGTGGCATAGATTGTTTATTATCGTAACAACGGTACATATCATTCGAAATTTAGCCTCACATTGCCATTTTAAAATTACATCATTAAATGGCGACTGTGTTTTAATCTGTTCAAATCTCTGCATCCGATGGTCTAGAGTTGATTATATAGGCTTGTCATGTGAATAAATGTCTAAATAATAGTTTATATACCTCTTGAAGTCAAAATAAAGGCCTGCAATAGGCAGATTTAGCTTTTACATAATATATCTTTAATTTGAATTTATACACAGTGTTGATGAGATGAAGTGGCCTTTTACTTTTCAACCATTTCTGATATTTGCTGTCAAGGGTTATCAACGTTGAATAATTTGAAAAAAAATCTTATAGGGCCACAACTTTAAAAGGACAGACCCCCACCTTAAATCAAGTTACAAGGTGACAATCACAATTGGTGTATGAGAAATCTGATGTTTTCTATCACAAAGTGGTGTTGGGTGGTCGAATAGTTCGAGGTCTGTCATTGAGTGGCGTAGTTTTCAACTCAAAGCTTGTTCGTGACAAGGAGTTGTTGGATCACCTGTCCATCCTCGTGGGTTTTCTTCGAGTCCTCTGGTTTCCTCCTCCCACTGCATTGAACTATATGTTGGTCCCAAAACGACCTGGTTTATGTCAAGTGTACATTAAGGCCCATTTCTCTATCTCTTTTGCTATCACAAATAGATGTTATATCAGACCTTTGTATTTTTGTCCCATCCGAATGACTATGCATTCTCCTTTGCCAGACTCTCTGTCCTGCATCACTGACAAGGGGGAAACACGTTGGAAAATTCGAATGAACTTTCTTTAGATTAGCAAGGCAACATCTAACACACTGAGCCACTGCGGCTCTCCTTTAAGTAGAATAGAGTGGTAGTTGAATTATAACAGTACAGGTAAATCCAGTTCTTTGTACTAATTATAGGGGGGTTGGATGGCCGAATGGTTAGCACATGCACGCTGTATCATAAGGTCTGTCATTGAGTCAACTGGCGGGGTTTCGATTCCCCAGTTGTACCTGACAAGGAATAGGGTCGCCTGTCCAACCTCGTGGGTTTTCTCTGGGTCCTCTTTTTTCGTCCCACTGCTAAAATCCACTACGTGCAAGTGAATTATTGAAATAAAATTGAACCATGTGTTAGTCCCGATATAATCTAGTTTGAGTCGAGTGGACATTAAACCCCATTTCTTTCTTTCTTACTGTACTAATTATACCCAGAAATATAGAAAATATGGGTAAAATTCAACCAGGTTCTTTTATCAACTGAGATTTCTTTCAAAATAAATTCCAATACTAAGAAATCGTTAATAAGAAAACTAGAAATAAATTAAATCTTTTAAGAATTTAATTGAGACTAAAGAAATAATTTACAACCTCACTCAACATAAAAAATTCCATATTTCTATCATTAAAAAATTATCAATTGCATGTTAAAATGAATTAAATTTTTAAAGAATTTAACTGTGTCTAATGAAATAATGTAACATCTCTTTCAACTTATTTCTATTTCACTGAAGGTATTTAAAAAAATAAATTAAAATATTTTCATCATTAAGGAATCATTTTTTTTGTATGTTAAAAACAAATTAAATCTATTAAGAGGTTTTTTTTTTGTTACTACCGGTAATGACTTAAATAAATTACCCTTGTCTTGTATAACCCTGCCCCACTTATAACTTGAAAACCATGTATTTATTTTTTCTATGAAACTATCGTATGACTATTTTTCGAATTATTCAAATTCTTTTATATGTCTTGGGAGCCACGGTGACTAAGTGGGTAAGACACTGGCTCGCTAGCCTGGAGGTCGCGTGTTCGGTCACTGGTTTGGCCGAGAAAGTTTATTGTGATTTTACAGCATGGTTTTCCTTTGTCAGTGGTGCAGGCCGGAGGACGTAACAAGAACAGCTGTCTAGTCGTTTGGATAGGATGAAAAAAAAACCCCATGATCTCGTGTTTACATTGGCGTACAACTTAAAGATCCCCTGACAGTTGGAATTCGATATCAGAGTAGGCCATAGTGTCGCTGCCAAGGCAAAATTTCCCTCATAGCACACTGTATGGTGTATGCCCGTCGGAGCAGAACAGTAGGATGTTAAACCACATTTGATTTCATTTTATATGTCTTGAACTGATTTTACACGTAAAAAATACAAGTTTAACTGTATTTCATTCAATTGCACTGCTGTTCAGGCCCCGAGTTCAAGAAGCATTCTCACTTAAGTATTAACTCAAACTTGTTCACCTTATTTTAACTACCCGGTAAAATATTGTCCTTTATAAAACTTTTGTTGTTTTAATGTATCAAATACATCAATAAGAAACTATGTGGAAATTTTTGTGTTTCTGGATCAAAGATATTTCTCATAAACAGTGATTAAAAGTTGATTACATTCTTAACTTAAAAACTCGGGGCCTGGGCCCTATTTCACGAAATTCTAACTAAAGATAAAATCCAGATTTTAGAAGATACTTCAATTTTGATTGGCTAAGCACTAAAATCAATCTAATATTATCCAATCAAATTACTAAAATTTGGATTTTATCTTAGTTAAAATTTGGTGAAACAGGCCCCTGGTCAATATGACTGAACCCTGATTGGAAGTTCCAATATAATAACATGATAAAGATGCTTTATGTAAGATTTAGATAAAAAAAAAAAACGTCCGTTCTTGCTATTCAAATTACCTTATTCTGGGCGAAATTATGGCTATAGTGTAGATCAATCATATCATGGCAACGATACTTGACAACCAAGACTTACCCTCCATTGTTTTTTTTTATCGTTAAATTTCATTTTTAAATCCATTTAAATCTCAGCCATCCGTGCTCTAGAGAATTGATTTGAGGCTTGTCAGCTGAATAAATGTCTAAATTATTCATAATTTATATAACATTTATTGAAGCCAGAAAAAAGACCTGCAATAGGTAGATTTAACTCTTACATAATTGAATGACCGGTAAACTTGTCCATCATCATCCAGTCAATTTCACTGTCAGTCATTCCAGACTAGGGGGTCATGGTGGCTAAGTGGGTAAGACGCTGGCTCGCTAGCCTGGAGGTCGGGTGTTCGATCAATGCATTGGCCGAGAAAGTTCACCCAGATTTTCCGACATGGTTCCCCTTGTCAGTGATACACGATGGAGGGTCTGACAAGGACAGCTGTCTAGTCATTCGGATGGGACGAAAAACCGAGGTCCTGTGTACACATTGGCGTGCATGTAAAAGATCCCTTGACAGTTGGAATTCGATATAAGAGTAGGCTGTGGTGCCTCATAGCACACCACTGTATGGCATATGCCGGTCTTCATTAGTCCAGTTTGTAGCAAAACAGTAGGACGTTAAACCCCATTTCATTTCATTTCATTTCATTTCATTCCAGACTATTAAATATGACTGAAACAGAATCCCCTGATCTGAACACCTCGAATATATCAAATGTTGTCTATAAAATGGCTGCATGTTCCAAATCCGTCTATTTATATAAAATTCATATCAGTCAGAAGACGAAATCTGTTGGCACAATATGTAATTTCATATTTTATACTATTGATTTTGGCAGTTCATAAAAAGAGAAGAATCCCGTAAAATCATCCAATTTCTGAGAACAGGGTGTGAAAATCTGGCAGAAATCGTGAAAAGTTAGACAAGTGAGAAATTAGCCAATCATCTGCATATAAAAGTATTATAAAAAAATAAGGTCTGCGTCTGTTAAGAACCTTATCATAGTAGATATTAATATTCCACGCGCTATAATATAACCATTTATCACACCCCACCAGTACGCAAACTGACATATCGGTGTCTTGTATAAATAAATCTCCTCCATGAATCATAATTATATAATTATCCATAATGTTTTAACATCCGCAAAAATACCGACAAGAGGGCAAAGTTAAAATTGATGTGATTTGAGCCATGCATGTAAGTTTTTTTTCCTTGCCTGTTTTATGATTTGATCATGATGAAGGGATATTTAAATAGCGCTGCTTCACAATTTACATAAGGTATTCATCAGTTTTACGAAGCCAGTCAAAATAAAGTTGTGGTTTCGAGAGAGAGATAGATCTAATATGCTGATGACAAAAACACATGAGCACAAGAACAAGTCTTGAGAAAACTGTGTGTGTCTGCTCAAAAAACACAAAAGTAAAAACTAATGAGGCCTATGCAGTTTAAAATAACATTACTAATAAAATGTAATGTAAAACTGTGTGTGTGTGTCTGCTCAAAAAAATCTCCAAAATTGCAGTTTACTAATAAAATGTACAGGAAAACTGTGTGTGTCTTTCCAAAAAATACAAAAGTAAAAATTGATTAGGCCTATGCAGTTTAAAATAACATCACTAATAAAAAGTACTGCTAAAAAAAGGGAGATACCTATATGTGTGTCTGATCAAAAAACATTAAAGCAAAAACAATGAGGCCTATGCAGTTTAAAATAACATTACTAATAAAAAGTACTGAAAGACATTCAAGATATATTTTGGTAATACATGTATATTGGATATCAAGATACAAACTGCCGAAAACATTTCCATGTCAAAAGTATGATGAGGCGTAAAAAGTAAGAAACAACATTTCTCTTTAGAAAAAAAAAAAATTATAAAAAAAACTACTAACAATAATATATATCTATTCTTGAAATGTCAAATACTTTTTTTTTAAAATGTATACAATCAGAAAAGAAGACATTTCCAGGCCTTTTCACTAAATAAACTGACAAACAAATTCCAAATTGATGTGAAATTCTATCTGGCTTCATAAATCACGGGAGTGTAAGTTGTAGAGGAAATCATAACAATATATAAATTACCGTTATTCGCGGAATATAAACGAGTTTCCTATCTGTATTTTACGTTATATCCTGCAGAATGTAATTCGTATTTGTCTAACAGAAGAATATCGGTGTAAAACAAAGTATAAATGAAGTTAGAAAATAAAAATAAATGCTGCACAAATAATTAAATTATAATAAAAAGATGATAATGATAAAGTGCCACATTTCTTGTTAATGGATTCTTCGCACCTTCATTAGATTTTTGCTTATGGAGAGAAATAGAAAACTGTACCATTTTGGGACTAACATATGGTTCAAATTTATGTCAATCATTCCCTTGTATGTTGGGGTCTTTTGCAGTGGAAAGGAACTTGAGGTCGGACAGGTGACCCTACTTCTTGTCACGTACCACCTTGGGATCAAACCCATGCCACTTAACTCAATGACAGACCTCATGATCAATCTGATTAAAACACAGATCCTATTTCATTCTGTTTTTAGTTTTTAAAAGTTCAAAATTTCCTTTTACTTGTCTTTTACACTAGGATATGGAAAAGTTGTTATATTACCCGCGTTCTGGATGATGTGAGGAATTACCATGACACAACTTCTACCAGGAAAACTGATGATGGTGAAATTAGTCATTGGCATGGAAGTAATTGTCATCCAAGCCAATTGTCCTGGAAGTCATTTTTCTTGGTGTCAGTTGTCCTGGAAGTTATTGGTCTTGATGTCAGTTGTCCTGGAAGTTATTGTTCTTGGTGCAAATTGTCCTGTAAATGGTGCCAAGTGTCGTGGAGCTAATGTGATTGAAGCCAAGTGTCGTGGAGCTAATGTGATTGAAGCCAACTGTCGTGGAGCTAATGTGATTGAAGTCAATTGTCGTGGAGCTAATGTGATTGAAGCCAACTGTCGTGGAGCTAATGTGATTGAAGCCAAATGTCGTGGAGCTAATGTGATTGAAGCCAAATGTCGTTGAGCTTATGTGACTGAAGCCAATTGTCCTAGAAGCCTATGTGATTGAAGCTAATTGTCCTGGAGCTAATGTGATTGATGCCAATTATCCTGGAGTTAATGTGATTGATGCCAATTATCCCGGATTTAATGTGATTGAAGCCAATTATCCTGGAGTTAATGTGACTGATGCCAATAGATATTGTATTGTTCTCATACAAATTTCAATTAACTGGATACTGATCCAATCCGGCTAAAAAATTAAACTAAACTAATTAAAATCATTTCAGCATTTATTTTAATATCATGACAAGAAATTTTAATTTCCAATCACAAACATAGGTCTACAGGCATGTAACATTGTCTCACCCCAATCTCTTTATCAATAATTTTTATTAATAATTCATTAATAGACAATATTTTCTAAGTGATGTACCTTTATATACAAGATCAATGCAAAAATCACTTTCACACAACATTATCCAGGAACCTAAAATGGTTTGATACTCTTGTGGAGTTTTCATATCTGCACAACTTTTTAAATCATCCATTCAAATGACCATCCTAAGCTCTCCCGTCAAAAGGCAATACCTAGTAACTCACGTTTTTCTTATTTTGAGAAAACAAAGGAAACCCGTAATGAATGAATATTAAACCCCAGCTTATCCATTGATTTGACTATTGAGTTACTAGGTTTTTCTGTGGCATACTAGGCAAATGAAGGAAGTTGCTAGGTTGTGTCATGGGTGTAATTGCTTACAAAATCAAAAGGTGGGAATATCTAGTACAACAACAGGAAGCACATACCCTAGTAACTACAAATATTTGGTCCTAACTCAATTTTGATATAAAAAAAGTGAGTTACTAGGTTTTGACCATTGATGGGAGAGCTTTAAAGTCGCTGGTCGTCATTCCTATTTTTCATGCAATATATAATTTTTAACGCGGTAATCCATTCTAAATTCTAATCAGATTTATTATTTCAGATTTAATTAAAGAAACAAAGTTATAATGGTGGATTATGTCCAGGCTTCGATTAAATTTGATGAAAAAAAAACATGTTTATATCATCAACAGTGGATGATGATTGTTATAAAATTTTTAATTTATCATATCTTTATAAATACTTAACCGAATTGAATCATTTTAGGGAGAGAGAGAGAATGGAGTTTAATGTCCACTTGACACAAACTAGATCATTTCAAAACTAACATGGTTCAATTTTTTTATTTCAATAATTCGCTTTAGCAGTGGGAGGAAACCGGAGGACCCGGAAAAAACCCACGAGGTTGGACAAGCAACCCTACTTCTTGTCAGATACAACCAGGGAATTGAAAACATGACAGTTCACTCAATGACAGACCATATGATACAGCGTGCACATACTAACCATTCAGCTACCCAACCCATGAATTTAGGACTGATATTTTTTTTATTTAATATCGAGCTTACCCAGTATTATATTTTGCAAGGATTTAAAATATTTCAAATGACGATCAGCGGTTTTATACATACTTTATCTGATTTTATAAATACATTAGTAGAGTTTATCTGATTTTATAAATACATTAGAGTTTATGCTTTCTATTCATCCTTTAAATGAATATATTTTTCTCTAACATTGCAACGTTTCCGTATTGGACCAAATAAGCGCAAATACTCTAAGAATCACACATTGAAAATAAAATCCCAATTTGAACAGATATGATATGGTTTAGTCTTGTTTTACTTTGAATGCAGCATCTGGTCATTGGATGAAGCGAGAAACCAAGGTCACATTTACATGCCCACATTCCCGTAAAAGAACCCTTGGCAGTAGGGATTCGACAACGAGTAGACACAAATGCCACTGAACAAGCAACACTTCCCTCATAGAACACTGCATAGTGGTTGCCCGTCCTCATCAGCCCAGCTGGCACAGAAAGTATGACGTTAAACTTAAATTCATTTCTGAAATTCTGGATCTGCCCTTATTTGGTCGAATACGTTAAGCATCTATATTCATGTAACATTCACAATAATATATTTACAGTTTAAATACACATACATGGTCGGGATCAAATGCACTTGGGACGTAAAAATAAAAAAATGTGAACAATAATAATTAATTAATTAATATATATTATATTATATGTATATGCTCTCGTTATGATTTCAAGTCACGCAGGGCAACATTTTAATAATGTTGATTCACTTGGATCTCTTGTATGTTATTATCTTGGAAAACCCAAATGGTAAAAATATCTCCGAATGTTCAGAGTAGGGAGCTACGTATAACTACTCCAGTCAGAGGAATATGAAATCGATGACCTCATCGAGGGGGCGTTAAAATCATGAAGAACTTTTTAAATTCCTGTAAAATCATGTCTTTTAGAGTAAGTTGGGAGTCAAAATCATGATAAACTTTCAACAATTTCTTTAAGAATATCTATTTTTATACCCTTTTTTTTCAAAAAAAATTAAGGTGAATAATGCAATATGGAAAATTTTGAAGAAGTTTTTATAGATATATTGAAATTACATAACTTGCGAAAATTCCTTTAAAAGCATTTCTTTTAGAATAATGCAAGAAGTTGGAGGCTTCTTAAGTTTTTATCCCAATTAGTGGATGTTAAAAAAAAACCTTAAATACTTTCGATAATTCTTTTAAAACATTAATTTTTAGAATTCTTTTTAATTAAGATGAATAATGCATCTCTGATTGTTTAGAACAGGGGAGCTAACTATTTCCGTCAGAGGATTGTGAAAATCATGAAATGCTTCCGTCAATTCTTTTAAACCATTTAACCTTAGGACTCTTTTTTTAAATTACGATAAGATAAATAATGAAATATGGAATTTTTTTTAGAAGTTTCCACAAACGTATGGAAATATTGACGATCTCAAATTAAGATAATAAACCTTGAAGAGAACCAAGTGAAGTTAATGCATGGCTGTATTATTAGCACTGTACCAATCGGAAAAACACCGAAAAAATAGTTCAACTCAACAGACAAACACAGACATTTAATACAAAATTATTTACAATATTTCAACAAGCAATTAAAAAACACTGCTTTCTTCATCACAAAAACAAAAAACACCTCAGTATTTTTTATATTTCATAGAAACATTTGAACAAAATGTCTATTTCTCTTATTATATCGATCAACAGTCCATTATCTGCTTTTGTTAATAATTTTAGAAATAAACAGATCATTTTAAAATCCTCTGAAAACATTTCTTCAGCTTATTTCTAACTGTATAAATATGTCATGATGTTCGACAAGTTGAGAAATATCAACTCCTGGTCTGTCAATAGATCTATTTTTAAATAAAATATATAAAATTGTTTTGTTTTTTTCTCAAAATCTAGATTAAAGAATATGGATTTCAAAGAATTTGAAGTTTTCAAAATCAAACAACATTTTCTTGTCTCTTAATTGTTTCATCTTAACACTTTTTCATGACGCACACATGTAGATACACGTCTTCCATTTTGTGTTTGGTCACAGTTCTTGATCAGTGTTTGAAATTAAAATCGGCCCATGGCTCCGCATGCTACACATTATTCAGAGAAGCTTGTCTTATAAGAGAGATCTCGGATCCACAACATACATCAAACACTGAAAGACCTACTCAGTAATAGTTTACACAAAGTTGCTTGAACGCTTTCATTTACCTGTCACCATGGTAACCAGCAGCAAACAGTTTCCATTTCTACTATTGGCTATTCTAATAATAAAATGTGACTTGGTTACCTGGTCCTACGGAAAGTTTAAATAGTGTGATCAGACCCCACGTAATGACCATTCGCTACTGGTCATTGTGGTGTCCCCTTTACTACGTTGTTCTAGGTCACTGGGTCCCACGGACAAACTATGATGTGTATTATGACCCGCGGCCCACATAATAAAAAGGGCATTGTCTGTTGACAATTTCATGGCAAATAATATCCCGACAAGAATACAACTGGTTCATATACTAGAACACACTTATACATCAATTTCACGTCTGCAACTTTCATGTCATGTGACTCCTCTAGGCCGATGACTATCTCAACTTAATTTCAAACACTGTTGATTTGTGTACATCAACCCACACGCACGTCTGCATTTCAAATCTATAAATAATAATTTAATTGTGGTCAAAAGCCGCAGATAACAAATCCCCCATAGTCACACAGATATCACTGAAGGAAGGGCGATCTTTCGGACAATCTAACATACATTTTCTTATAAAATCCACAATTACATTCGGACATTGTTCAGTATAGGAAAGGGAGAGAATTCCACTTTTAAGTCCCTTCAGCACTTCCTCATCACTCTGTTGTCGATAGGGAATTTCCGCTAGATGGAATACTTCCCAAACTAAAACTCCAAACGACCAAACGTCAGTTTTTGTTGAGAATTCCTCCTCGTGGACCGCCTCCGGAGGAAGCCATCTGATTGGAACTGGGCTTTGACCCATTTTGAAATATTCGACTGCATATAGATCGTGACACATGGCAAGACTGCAGATCTTGAGCTCCATTCGCGAAGTCAACAGGATGTTCCGTGTGGCCAGATCTTTGTGGATAAGACGTTGATTTGATAGATGTTCCATTCCGAGAGCGACTTGGCTACACATGTTAAGTTTTTGTGGCAGAGCGAGGCTGGGTAGTCGAGGGATACGTCTGCCATTGTCCCCTCTTGTTGCCAGTAGAAACTGTTTCAAATCACCCTGAAAAAAAAAAATATTAAAAGAATTAGATATATTATGAGCAAAAGACAAGAGCCGGGAGGAAATATTTAGATGTATTTGAGAGAGAGAGAGAGAGAGAGAGAGAGGGAGGGGGGGGTAGGTTTAATGTCCACTCGGTCATCTCGGGACTAACATGGTTCAATTGTATTTCAATAATTTATTTTAGCAGCTCAAGGAAACTAGAGGTTGGTCAAGCGACCCTACTCCTTGTCAGGTACAAGCAGGGAATCAAAACCACGCCACTTAACTAAATGACAGACCTTCTAATTCAAAGCACATGCCTCAACCATTCGGCCACTCAACCCATAAACCATTTTAAAGAGTTGTGTCTAGTGTTGGGAGGAAACTGGAGAAATGAAATGAAATTAAATGGAGTTCAACGTCCTACTGTTCTGCTCCGAACTGGGCTAATGAAGACGGGCATACGCCATACAGTCTACAATGAGGGGAATTTTGCCCAGACAGTGGCACTATGGCCTACTCTTATATCGAATTCCAACTGTCAAGGGATCTTTTACGAGCACGCCTATGTGTACACGGAACCTCCTGCATCACTGACAAGGGTGAATCACGCCCGAAAATCTGGAGGAACTTTCTCGGTCAATGCAGGGATCGAAAACTCGACCGCCAGGCTAGCGAGCCAGCGTCCTACCCACTTAGCCACGGAATTCCCTCACAGCATAAGCTTGGCATATGTGGTCTGAATTTCATTTCATTACACCCAGGAGTCAACATGAATTCTATCATGAAGCCTTTAGTTTAACCCAAATCAAGACAATTTGACACTTTTATTAAAGAGAACAGTTCTAAAGACAATGTTCTACTTCAGACAACATCTATTCCTTTGGATGGGATGATAAACCAAGGTCCTCATGAACCCTTTCAACCAAATTCAACACTTTATTTTGTCTACAAATCAAGACAATTCTACACTTTAAAAGAAAAGAATTTTAAAGACAATGGCGGAATCAAGTGTATATACAAGGTGAGATTTACGGCTGTCACATCTGGTTAATGAAGGCTAAAATGGTGAAAACAGAAAGAAACATGCCAACAGAGCAGACGGGAAGAAAGCAGGAGTGAACATTAGCTAATAGTTTCATTTCAATGCACATGCAAAACACAGAAGAACGAAGATGGTAGCAACAATTAGACAGTTTTCAAACTAGTTTAAGTTTATAAACATGCACTTTGCTAATTTCTACAAAATTTAAAAGATATTCGAATTAAATTTTATTCCACTGGGGCAATGAAATTTATAATGTTAACTCTACACAAACTAGATTATTTCTGGACATGTGCAAAGCGAGGAAACCCAAGGACCTGATGAAAAACCCATTTGGTAAGGCAGACGCCCCTACACCTTCTCCTCGACACAGGTTTAAGGGTTCATAAACACCAAATTATTTGACTCAATGCCAGACCTCATTATATAAGGGGGATGAGATAATACAACCACCTGAGTTAAATGGCCTCATTAGCCAAGAAAGTTCATCAGTATTTTCCCACATGGTTTCCCCCTTGTCAATCAGTGGTTCAAGACTGAGGATCGGACAAGGACAGCTGTCTAGTCATTGAAATGGGACCAAAAACAGAGGTACCATGTATACATAGGCGTGCACGTAAAAGATCACTTGGCAGTCTTACTTTGATATAAGAGTAGGTCATAGTGCCACTGCATGGGCAAAATATCCCTCACAGCACACTGTATGGCGTATTCCCGTCTTCATAAGCCCAATCGGAGCAGAACAGTAGGATGATAAACCCCATTTCATTTTGTTAAATGGCCCCCTATGTTTCTAAATGATGATATAAAAAAGCTGCTCTATTTGTTAAATTTTCGCGGAGTTTAATCACACGCCCTTCGTTACTTACCCAATCACAGTATTCGGTTATGAGAAATTGGGGCTCCATTTCACGACAGACTCCGAGCAGTTTGACAATGTTGGGATGATCTAGTTTAGAATACATGTCCATTTCTTGTCGGAACTCGAAGAAAGCGTGATCTTCTTTGTTGAGTAAAGATTTAACGACGACCAATGTCTCCTGTTCCACCATATTAATACCACGAGCTTTAGCCAGAAATATATCACCAAACTGACCTTTACCTACAGATGAAAAAAATAATCAAATTAAAACATCAATTTCGGAAAAATATTCACACACAAGCACCTAGAAAATCCATGTAGGTATTCACATAAGAAATAATGATGTAATTTTATGCCCAAGCTTTCCATTTCAAAATTTTATCAGCCACTAAAGACACTAAACCCCATTCCAATCAAACAAATCACCAATTTTATTCACATAGATTGTGATTGGTACTCACCTAACATTCCCAGAGTTTGCAAGTCTTGCCGTGGAAAATGGAACCTTTCAAAGCTGCCTCGTCTGTTACGAGATTGCTGGGATTGCGAGGAGTGGGATGGATGGGAACTCATTCCAGATATATGCGAACGATTATCACTGTCGCTAACACTTCTAAACTGAGTCCCAGAATCACGATCTTTCATCAACAACTCGTGCTGTTCACGATTTATGTCCCCGTTTTCAGATTTGACTGGAATAGACAATAAAACAGGAGATTTAATTTGACGAGGAGGATTAGCTGAATCACGTTCTGTCATCAATAACTCGTGTTGTTCGTTATGGATTTCACCATTCTCAGGTTTAACTGGAAAAGACAACAAGAAAACACAAATTGTAAAGAGGAGGAAGAAGTTAGTCATTCTTTGTTAAGCACAAGCATTCCAACAAGCATGCATGATTTGATCCTGAAAAGCACATGCAGATCCTTAAGGCAAACAACAGTAGGGCTTGACAGTAAAGGCAAGCAGCAGCAGGACCTAATGGCAAACAAGAGCAGATCCTGAAGGGGCAGCAACAGAACCTGATGGCAAGAAAGATCAGATCCTGAAGGGGCAGCAACAGGACCTGACGACAAACAAGAACATATCCTGAATGGACAGCATCAGGAGATATTGAATGCAAGCAAGAGAAGGCACTGAAGGCAAGCAAGAGTAGGTTCCAAGGGCAAGCAAGAGCAGGTCCTGAAGGACAAGGACAATCAATGACAAATACGATCAGGACTTGAATTATACAAGCAGGACCAAGTCCCAAACAGGACAATCTCTATCAAATAACAATGAAGACATGTACAAAACATTAGTAGGAGATAAGGAAAATATGAAATAAATGAATTTTAATAACAAGAAGACTCAGTCATCCAGATCCTGCAGTCTTATAATATTTTGGAAGATAGAGAGGGATAGACAATCTCTCATTTCTATATAACAGGTTGAAGTGGGTACAACCATTTATAAGATGCTCCAGAAACAGAACTGGCATGGGAGGATGACCCCTCCCAATGACCAATGGGAATAGAGAATAAAGGGGTAGGACAGGAAATAGAGAGGGAATTTTGGGAGTTAAAACAGTAGACAAAAGAGTAAAGTAACAAACATAAAAGATACATGCAGATTAGGCAAGGGATGAAATATCTCATCCTAAAAAATTGCAGGTGGTGAACTTACTTGGAAATCTGCTGCTTTCGTTAAGACCTTTTGTTGTCCTTCTCTGCTGTAATAGTCTGTAACTACAGAAGACTGTCAGACCAATGACTAACGCTAAATATGCTCCAGCGCTACATACGGCTATTATTATAGTCTTCATCATATTAAACCCTTCTTCTTCACTTTCTGTATAACCTGTAGACAAAAACAATACGTTAGATTTAAAACTACTCTTGCTGCTATACCAGTACCCATAGTAACACCCATAGCAACACCCACAGAAAGACCCATAGCAACACACAGTGGATTTGTTGCACATGTATTTCTACTTTACTAACCAATAGATCCTTTGTTTGATCCTGGAATTGGCTGAAATTATTCTTGTACTTAATGGTGCCAGAATAAGATACTCAGTGCTCCTTGGGTAGAAATTACAGTCAAAGTCCCGAAATGACAAAATCTCTCCCAGTAACCCAAGCGTTTGACAAAGACATTCACTAATCTATAAATGTATTTCAAAACTATGATTTATTGTACAGTAAAATCATGCTATTACAGTTGCAGTACTGCTATAAATTGGTTTGAATAGTAGAGTGGTCTCTATACTGAGGTCGCATCAGAGGATACAGATTTGATAGAAGACTATTGTTCAGAATGAACATATAAATTGGTCTTAATAGTGGTCTTTATACTAAGGTGGGATATGTCAAGATACTGCCTGTAATTCAGAGATGGCTGTTGAGTTGGATTTATTGTACAGTGAAATCCCTCCATTAAGACAGGTTGTAGTACTAATATAAACTGGTCTGAATAGTAAAGTGGTCATAATTAATACTGAGTGAGCTTCCAAGAACCGAATTTCATAGAAGACTATTCTATAGAACCACCATATAAATTGGTCTTAATAGTGAGGTGGTCTTTATATTTATACCGAGTTGGATACAGCCTGTAATACACAGATGTCTTTGCAAAGGATTTTACTGTAAATATCTTTTAAGGATAAAACTTACTAGTAACTTTTATAAATATATCAGATTTAACAAAGCCTGCACTGTTATTCGCGAAGCAGGTATATTTCCCTTTATCTTCCATATGTACCGTCTTAATCAGCAAGGTACCATTAGGAAATAGCTGAAATATATAGATATAGACCATAATTTATTTTAACTGAGTGGTTTATTGAAACAGATTATAAACAATTGTATCAACATCTATATGATATATAAAGACAAGTGTTGTTATGTAAAATGAATGAAATACTTCATGAAATAAAACATATGTTGTTATACTGTATATCACATTTGATTGTATATCATATATTTCAAGTAACAATCTGGTTAAAATAATCATAAAAAAATCCATTTTCTTAAAGATGCACTTTGCAAGAGCAAATCTCCCTATTGTCAGTATCAATTAGGCATTTATTCACATGACAAGCCCATAATTAACTCTCTAAATCATCAGATGGCCATGATATTGAATGGATAAGAACACTTGCGCCACTAATTAATCAAACGAAAAAAGATTGACAATCAAGATTTTAGTAGCAATATGGCATAATCAAGACTATCTTAACAAAATTTAAACATTCTTAATAACTTGGCTCAAAATAAAAGTAATTTAAATGAAATTTTCCATATATCCATTTTTCATCGGCTATTTTTTAACAGCCAACTCTTTATCTAAATCTTACATAATGCATCTTTAAAATTACTAGATCTCAAAAATACGATTGGATTTTATCTGATGAGTACACAGGTGGAAAGAGAGAGAAATGGGGTTTAACTAGGTCATTTGGGGACTAACATTATGATTCAATTTCCTTTCAATAATTCGCTTGCATGTAGGAGTCTTTAGCAGTGGGAAGAAACCAGAGGACCTGAGGAAAACCCATGAAGATGGACAGGTGACCATACTCCTTGTCACATACACACATGTTAACCATTCAGCCACGCACCCTACCAAGGTCTTGTTTTTTTGGTTTTTTTGTTCCAGACTATAACTTAGCACTTTTTACTGCAGACGCCACCCATAACAAACGACAATTAGACTTGAAAAATCCTTATGGCCCAACCCAAGAATCCAACCTGAGACAAATTTTAGTAAAGAGGCCAGTGCCCTACTGTGAGAACACTGTGGCACCCTCTCTTTAAAATAGTTCTATATAAATAACAGGTGGATATAAAAAACTATAAACAATATAAATCACATGTAGATATATATCACTATATACAAGAAGATCTGATACAGTAACAATATAAATCATTATAATACGGGTGTATACATAAAACTATATCAATCTCTATAATATATTGGGGTGGGGGTGGATGGCCGAATGGTTAGCACGTGTGCGTTGCATCATAAGGTCTGTCATTGAGTCAACTGGCAAGTTTCGATTCCCTGGTTGTACCTGACAAGGAGTAGGGTCGGCTGTCGAACATCATGGGTTTCCTCCGGTTCCTCCAGTTTCCTCCCACTGATAAAGAATCCTACGCGCAAGCAAATTATTGAAATAACATTGAACCATGTGTTAGTCCCAAAATGACCTGGTTTGTGTCAAGTGGATGTTAAACCCCATTTCCCTTTCTCTCTCTCTCTCTCTCTGTATAATATATCTGAGATATGAAACAGCAGCTGTATAAATCTCTATAATATATCTCAGTTATGAAATAATATAAATCACTGTAATACGGCTGTAGATATGTAAAACTGTATAATATATATGAGATATGAAACAATATAAATCACTATAATACGATTGTATATATATATAAAACTGTATAAATCTCTATAACTTTCCATGATATGAAACGATATAAATCACTATATATCTGAGTTATTGTAATGGTGAAAGGACTCTTTGTAAAAACTCTCCACAAATTATATATAGAAGATAAACCAAACAGATTTTATATATAGTGGTTTATGTGCCTCCTCTAGGCTTATCTTTAAACAGTTTCTTACACTCTGTCACCACCAGAGCTCAAGAAGATGGGTATACACCATGCATATCATCATGAGCGAAATTTTGATCAGACAAAATCTTGGTTTCCAAGAGGATCTTTAATGTCCAAAAATGGGCAAATTTGATAATTTTTAAATGATACAACACGAGGAAATATACGACAGTCAAATATAAATGATATCCAATAGTGAAATATAAATGATACCCCACAGGGAAATATAAATGATACCCCACAGGGAATTATAAATGATATCCCACAGGGAAATACAAATGATACCCAACAGTGAAATAGAAATGATATCCAACAGTGAAATATAAATGATACCCCACAGGGCAATATAAATGATACCCCACAGTGAAATATAAATGATACCCCACAGGGAATTATAAATGATATCCCACAGGGAAATACAAATGATACCCAACAGTGAAATAGAAATGATACCCAACAGTGAAATATAAATAATACCCCACAGGGAAATGATACCCAACAGTGAAATATAAATGATAACCCACAGGGAATTATAAATGATATCCCACAGGGAAATACAAATGATACCCAACAGTGGAATAAAAATGATACCTAACAGGGAAATATATATGATGGAAAATATAAATATGATAGCCCAAGGAGAAATATAAATGATAGGAAATATAATTGTTTATCTGCTTACCTTATATCTAGGTGAGTCTGGTTGTATGGGTCTACCACTTTTGTCCCAGTGTACAGTGGGTTTTGGATCACCAATAGCAACACAATGTAAAAACGACTGTTGACCTTCGTAAGCCGTTGTATTTTCTGGGTGGATGGCAAGTTTTGGACTTTCTGTAAAATAATGAAACAATAGAGTTTTGTAATAAAGGAAAATGAAATGAACTGGGGATGAGCATCCTCCTTTTCTGACCGTATCAAGATGTTCATACGACAACCAGTGTGTTATGAGGGAAGTTTGTTCTGACAGTGACGAATTCTGCATCTTCTTCCTTGTATTCTAGCTTGTGTTTGGTGATACGGAAATAAAATGGAGTTTAACATTCTACTGTTTTGCACCGACTGGGCTCATGAACATGGTTTGTGATAAGAAATACAATTTAAAATTTTAAAACATAGCAACATTTCATAAATAACTCTGGAATCATATATTTCTAGCAGACGTCTGAATCTGGTTAGTCACTATGGTTGTTAGTCAATGATACTATATGTCTCATTTTGAAAAAGACCAATTCAAACTAACCGACTATTTTGACATATATGGTGGCGTTGATCACTCCCTGTTTGGTCGTAGCAACACACGAATAATATCCAGCATCCGTTAATAAAACATCGCTAAAATACAACACCCCCTGATCGTCCAGTATATGATCTGGAAACTTGAACTGGGTGTTTCCATGTTTTATCCAATGGACTGTCGGAGGTGTCTGAGCTTCTGCCGCGCAATCAATTTTATTCTGTGTATGTAATTCCAGATAATATGTACTGTTTGGTTTAGGGTTGAACTTCAGGGTTTCTGAAAAAATATTACAAATTGAGATTGTAAAGGCTTTGTAACTTTTCTCTGACAGACATAAAATTAGAGTTTAAAATCTCTTCTGCACCAAATGCATAATTAAATTCCAGTTGTCAAAGGTTCTTTCAGAGGGTTGGATGGCCGAATGGTTAGCTGTGCATACTGTATCATAAGGCCTGTCATTGAGTCAACTGGTGTGGTTTCGAATATCAACTGTAGTCCAATTAGGGGGGTTGGACCGCAGAATGGTTAGGACATGCACGCTGTATCATATGGTCTGTTGTTGGGTCAACTGGCTGGGTTTCGATTCCCTGGTTGTACGTGACAAGGAGTAGGGTCGCCTGTCCAACCTTATGGGTTTTCTCCGGGCCCTCCGGTTTCCTCCCACTGCTAAAGACCCCTACGCGCAAGCGATTTATTGAAATAAAATTAAACCATATGTTAGTCCCAAAATGACCTAGTTTGTGTCGAGTGGACATTAAACCCTATTTCTCTCTCTCAAAAGTTCTTTCACATGCACTGTAAAAACCTGAGGAAGTTTCTCAGCCAACACCAGGATTGAATCTGGGACCTTTTGGTTAGTTAACCAGTGTTATACTCTTTGAGCTACTATGGCATCCATCTGGCCGAAAAAACTGATTTTTAACTGTTTCAATTAACTAATGCATGGTGTCCAATTCCTTGATACTTCAGCAATTGGACCGCTCACAGCTAGTGCTCTGAATCACAGCCGTACAATGTGGAGGGCTATTTACACATGACTTGGGTGGTTTGAAGCAGATTAGTAAAAGGACCAGTATTTTCAGATGGATTCAAGCCTTCCAAGGATATACCAGTCTAAAATACATCAGTTTTCTCTAATATATTTTTCAACAAACCAGGGCATTGTACCAAGGGCTAAAGGATTAAAGAACTAAAATTCAGCACATCAAAACAAAGAAGATGTTATTATAACTGTCACTTACTGAAGACTTTAAGATATGCTCTGTTAGATTCTGCTATAGGATGGCCTGTTGTATTGGCTACACATGCGTAATTTCCAGCATCAGACATCTGTACATCTCTGATACGTAGTATACCAGCCATAGGATCTATACTATGACGAGCTGAATTCTGTAATGAAAGATTAATTTATTTCTAGATGAATTGATGAAATAATAATAATTACAGACAAGGAATTAAGGTATACAGTTGTTGATGTGGATGGAGAGGGAGACACAGAGAGATGAAGCATTGGGAAGGTGCAGATAACAGAGGGGGTGGAATGAATGAAGGTGTCATGATGGCACGAAAGTTGAGTTACCGTGGGAGGGGGAGGAGGAGTGGAGAGGATAGTGGGGCGGAGGAATTACACTGGTTGCCGGGGAAGAGGACACAGGCAGGGAAGAGGTGACAGAGTTGAGGTAGGGAAGAGGACAGAGAGTTGAGGCAGGGAAGAAGAAACAGAGCTGAAGTGGAAGATAACAAAATGTGAGTGAAATGTGACCTTAAAATCATTGACATATAAATCTATGATAGCATGACATTTACTGAGTCTCTCGAAGAGTTCTTAAACTATATATCTGCATGTTTCTCCTTTAACCACTAGAGGGCGTGACAAAACAATGAAACGTTGAAACGATATCTCCCGGGTGTATGGTATCTATAATATATGTAGCTGTTTCTTTTATAAATAATCTTACCAAAAAAAACATGGAATATTGCATGTGATTCACAGCGAAATCAACAAAAACATTGTCTGGTTTGACTTGTGTAAACAGATAGATTTCAATATGAATAAATAAATAACGGATTGAGAGAGGTATATATCACTTTCATCTGTACTCGAGGTGTAACAACAAATCTAGTCTGCATATTTACATGTGACTCACTGGTAGTGTGGGTCCGGTTGGCTGGCCAAATGGTTTAACCCTTTCACTGCGTATACCCGGTAGTACCGGGTATTATAAAATGTCGGTAAAATGCCCGTACCCGGTATTACCGTGTACTCAGTAAAGCCCTCGCTAAAATTAGTAATGTAACTGCAAGTGCCATCTATTGTATTTTCTATACACTAGAACATATTTCCACGTGTTTCAAAGCGGCAAACCGTAAAATGGCGGAGTGCATAGTGACAACGTAGACGATGCACTCTCGACGAAGTCGTGAATGACGTCTTGCTGACCAACACGTGGACAGTTTCGAGGCGGGTGATACACATAATTCGTTTCCAGTTACTTGATAATGATAGTAGTCAGGACAGTGATTGGTATTATGAAGTGTGTGATTTGTTGCGCAACGTTCCGCCCATTGCTGGCTATGTCTCCCGTGCATGATGAACAAGCCCAATGTGAACACGATAGCCCTGTGTCTGCAGTAGATTCTGACAATAATTCTGATGTTGATAATAATGCTGGCCTGCTGGATCGTAAAAGACGTAGGTAATTCCTGATTCCCGAACGTGTAGATCTATTGACTGACTATATTGATAATGATATGGGACTTGGGGATGAAAGTGAAAGTAAAAACAAGGTATTGCAATCCGCACGTGGTCATGGCAGCGGGAGACGTGATGCGCGTGTTCGCGGCAGCATTGCTCATGGCTGCTATTGATATTTTTGTTCATTTCATATATCTTTATCAAAATTCAGTGAAAAAAACAATATCTTTTAAGTATTTCATGGAGAAAAATTCGTTTTTGTGTTAGCTTTAGTGAGAAATGAGAAATCCAAAATGGCCGCCATGACGTCACGTGACTACATTATTATGCAAATTTCCAAAATTCTATTTTTTCCTCTTAGCCCAACCTCATGCCCATCCCAACAGACAAAAAGATTTTTCATAAAAGCTTCCATAAGTACTGCTTGGCATTCAGTTCCAACCTCCCTTTTTTCCTCAAAAAAGGGTCTAGCACAGGCAGTGGATTTACGTCTAGCATTGAAAGGGTTAATGTGTGTGCTTTAGATCATAAGGTCTGTCATTTGAGTCAAGTGGCATGTTTTCAATTCTCACTACGTGACAAGGAGTATGGTTGCATATTCAACCTTGTGTGTTTTCTTCGTGACCTCTTGACTAATAAAGACCCCTCTGTGCAAGCAAATTATTGAAATATTTTTTTTAATCAAATGTTAGTCCCAAAAAGACCTAATTTTTCTCTCTGACTGGTAATGACCAGTTGGGTTATTTGGGCAGCAACAAGGGGGAGAGATATGGGGTTTAACATCCACTCAACACAAATTAGGTCATTATAGGGGCTAACATATTTTACGGTCTCATTTCAATAATTCACATGCATGTAAGGGTCTTTAGCAGTGGGGGAAAACCTGAGAAAATCTAAGCATGGGATCAAATCATGACAGACTTTATGATCTAAAGTACAGATGTTTTACCCTCTCCCCCAATGTAACCCCGAGAACAGTCCAAAAGAACAAGCTCCCTCTCACCCTAGAACAGTCCAAAAGAACAAACTCCCTCTCACCCTTCCAAACGAAAGCATCAAAACAACCCAAAAGAACCAACCCTCTATCTTTCCCTGCACGCAACCCCTAGAACAGTCCCAAAACAACGAGCCCCCTCTCTCCCTACCCATACACTCACCATACTTATATAGTTCATATCTTTCTTCCAATAAACAGACATGACAGGATACGGACTACCTTCAACCAAACAACTAAACTCCGCGGACTGGCCTTCCTGTACTTCCTTGTACCGTGGTGACCGTCTGATCGTTGCAGGTACTGAAAATATAAAACATTACAAATATATCAATGGTGTCTTGATCAAGGCAAGAATTGCTATCTCATTTTAGAACACTAGATTATCACTTTTCTTTTATTGACAGATTTGTAGTCAATCATTTATAATAGTAATAATAACAATATACCATGGACTCGTATACCACACTTGCAACATATATCGCAGAAATAACACAAATATCATGGGAATAATACCCATATACCATGAACTCGTATAGCACACTTACAATATATCTCGCAGAAATAACACAAATATACCAAGGACCTATACCGCATTTAATACAAACATCCTGGTAATAATACCCATATATCATGGACCTTTCCACCACACTTCATCTTGGTCACAATACCAATAAACCTATATACCACAGACCCGTATACCACACTTAAGTGCATATATCATAGTTACAAAACTGGATACCATGGATGTTATAACCATATACCACACGTACTAAAAATATCAGAGTAATAACACGAATATCCCATGGAATACATGGACGTATACCTCACATTCAACCAATACTAGTAATAATACCAACATATAGCACAAACCTGTACCACACATACAACCAATATCCTAGTAATAATACCATATAGCATGGACGTATACTACATATACAACAAATATTATGGTAATAATACCATATTGCATGGACGTATACCACACTTTGTACATCTTGGTAACAATATCAATATACCACACTTTCTACAAATACAGTAATATACCCATATACCTTATATCTGATAAGACCAATATACCCATTTACCATGGACCCATATACCACGCTTAATACAAATATCATGGTAATATACCCATATACCATATGTCGTATAAGACCAATATACTCATTTACCATATACCCATATATCACACTTACTACAAAAAATAACACCAATATACCATGGACTTGTATAACATCAATATACACCATGGACCCACATACCACACTTATTACAAATATGAAAATACTACCGGCTTATTACTAAACAACCATAAGGTCAGAACAACAGACAGTAAGGACATGTTTTACCAATTTCTATTCTAAATTAAATTGTTACAAATATTTTATTTTGCTTAAAATAATTTTCATATGACATGTTTTGTGTTTTTGCAGGATTTGTATTTTTGTTATTGTTATTTTGTTTACTTTGAAAAACTGATTAAATTAATTTATAACCCTGTCATCTGTTCTAAAATGATCTACCACTACACACAAATATATAAATTATAAGAAGATGATTCACCCTCACCTCCCATCCCCTTCCTTGGTAAAATACATCGAGACACCTAATTTCAATTGTTTACTTTTCAAAGATCTAAATTTACCTTCCACAAAAACAAAATATACACTCATATTAATATTTCAAATTTTGTTTGGATTTTGTTGAGATGTACAAGATGTGTTAAAATCATTATAAAGACTCGTAAATCACTTGCGTATGACGGCCGCCATGGTACATTAGACATGTAAATTTCCACGTTATTTTGTTGAATTTGTTTTCCGTGCTCGTATAACTACAACATTTACACACGTTTGACGGTACTGTGTAAATGAGGGGGAAAGTCATACCTGAGTTAATTACCAGCGAGACTCTGTTGAGTTCAGCCTGCGGCAATTGGATGGGATATGATCTCCTCCTCACAGCTGGAGCATTAAAGGTCGTTTATTTTGGGGGTTTTAGGGAAGATAAAAAGATGGTGTAATAAATCAAATGTGTGAAACGTTAAGTCAACAGAATGAAGTAATGGATAGTACAAACATCGACTGGTGCAAAACGCTTGATATCTACATCGTGTGGGATATATTGATCTTTACAAATAGGCAGTGGGAGACAGAGGGTGATGAGTGGGGGGGGGGAGAGACAGGGGGTGGGAGATATATTGATGCCTACAGTTTTACAGAGGGAGACAGATCGGAGATGAGGTGGTTGGGAGAGACAGGGATGGGAGAAATGGATGGGAAGAAATGAAATGAAATGAAATGTTGTTTAATGGCACATCAGCTCCAACCAGGCTATATTGCGCCAAAAATATGGTGAATTTAACGAGACAAATTAAAACAATATCACAGGGATGTATTCATATATGTAAATAAAAACAAATATCACAGAAAATATAATTAAAAATAAATATATCAATACCTTTACATATATAAATATTTAAAACATAATATATGATAAATATATACAATTAAAATTTTGAATAAAAGTTTGTCTCTTTTAAAAATGCTAGCAATTTATCATAAAGCTCTGAGAGAAGAGAGAGATTGAGAGGCGAGTGGGGGGACCATGGGAGGAGGTAGAGAGAAGAGAGAGAGAGAGAGAGAGAGAGAGAGAGAGACAAAGGAGGAGAGGGACCATGGGAGAAAGGGGGACGAGAGGGACAATGGAGGAGCAAGATGGTGGACAGCGAGAGAGAGACGGGGGGAGGGGGGATAGAGGAGAGGAGACAGATTGTGGAAGAGAGAGACAGAACCGGGCGGAATGTGGGAGGAATAAAGACAAGAGGAAAAGGGAGAGATGGAAAGAGGTAGAAAGAGAGAGAGAGAAAGAGAGGGGACAGAAGGGGTGAGAGTGTGTGTGTGTTTTTTGTCCAGCACAAGGTTCAAATTATCAGGTACCAGTTGATTATATTCAGGAAAGGGTGTGCGTTTTGTCCAGCAGTCAGGTACCAGTTGATTATATTCCGATAAAACTAAAATCATTTCATGCCCAGTCTAGCCACACCCTTTATATAGACTGGGACAAAAACATAATACTGGATTCTTATGGATAATCTATACATAGTCAAATATCTTATAACCATATCAAAATACAGATTACAGAATAATATGAAACATGATAACTGAATATAGAATGACATTTTCTGGGGATTATTACCGACCCTCGTCAAAGTCAAAAAGGTCATATTGCAGAGGAATAGAACAATTAGTGTCACAAATATACATTTTATAGGTCAACAACGATTATGATTGGACCAAGTATTTAGGATCCACGATAATTAAAGTATATTTTAATATGTATCTGTTTTAGACATCATGGTACCACAACTTGAGTCTTTAATCCAGGACGATAAATAAGGTCTCTGATCCCAGTAATCTCCCCTTGAATGATTATAACTATAATTAGACAAATGGCTGATATTTAACAGTACCAGTGTCACTAAATGTATAAATCAAAAAACAAAACCTTATCATAAATAAATATCAAATTAGGAATACAATTCTCTATTTATAATAAAGTTTAAAATGATTAACCCCTCCCTTCGTCTTTTTTACCACATTAGGAAATGTCAGCTTCAAGAAATATTTGTTGATATTCAAACGAAATTTATTGCAATTTTATTGTGTTTCAAATATCAAATTACGAATAATGCAATTCTCCATTTATAAATAAAGTTTAAATTAAATCCTGTCCCTTTTTTTTAGGACATTATAAAATGTCAAACTATCAAGTACTGTAGTTTATAATCCTCGAGCGGCATTTAGCGATTGAGTGCATTAAAAAACACAACACAATTTATATAGAAAACAATCACTGACACATATAGCACGACTTTTCAACAAATGTTCTCTTATCATTATCAAACACAACCATAAGAGAACATTTGTCAGAAAGAGACAAATTTTTTCAAAAGGCCGATTTTCGACCTTAAATTCATAGGATTCATTAAGAAATCAGGCAAAAAAGTGTTTAGTTCAAATTCCATGTTCATAAGGCTAGAGAGGCACTTATTGTTTTATGAAGAACCTACAGGAATAAATATTAAATTTGTTTTGGCCTTAGTCATCTTATGTGCTCAGAACAAATATAAGACTGTAATTAATAATTTTCGAACAATAATTCTCTGTCAAACTTTATCTAAACCGATCCAAAAGTTGAACGTATCTGACTTCAGTACTAGGTTCAAGCCTGCTGATACAATCAAACGAAAAGTCTGTAAAACCCGTTAGCCTCCCCTCTGACAAAAACCCCTCCATGTCAACCTGAGATGAGGTTTTCTTGACTTTCCCAGATTCAAAATATAATTAGTTTTTCATAGATTCTATTCATTTAGATGGTACGGGGTGCAAACTGTTTAAAAACACTGTGTGATTAGACTGGAGTGGATAGTTTTAACATCTGTATCGTTAGTTATCGATAAATATTGAATTGTACTTATAAAAAAACAGTTGGTGTTCAGATTTACTTGTTTCAGGTGTAATTTAAAATTGTTAAAATAAAACGAAAGGAATGAATTTCATTAAAAGGCTGATTTCTGACCTTAAATTCTCAGGATTTAATAAACACTCCCTTAAGCGCAGTGGACTCTTACGGCTAACCCTCTGGATCCATTCACTTAATCTGATATGTATGTTTGTTTGTGATTTCTACATATTGTCTCTTGTGCATAGTTTTGTTTTGTATAATTATGTGTGTTGCAGTCCCCCCTGCATTTACTATTAAAAGAGTAGCAGAGGCTGGACTGGCCAGTAGATCTACATATTTTGGTTCATTAAAAAATCAGAAAATAAAAGACAGAAAGGAATGATTAAATTAAAAGGCTGATATTCGACCTGAAGAACTCAGGATTCATTTAAAAATTCAGGTAATTACTAATAGCAAGGGATGATTTTAATCATTTTGAATTTTATAGGGTTTATTTTTTTCAAAAACTAAGATTTCTGAAGATTTGTTTATTTTTAATTGAATACTGTTTACATTTTAGTCCACACCAAATTTATTTTTAGTTTCAACTTGACAGTGGGGTTAGTAGTCTCGGTCAACCAGAACCTCCTAGTCTTCAACTTGACTTTGGGGTTAGAAATCATCTGGACATTAAGAGAGATGAAAGAAAGGCGAGATGAAAGAAAAGGCGAGCTGACTGACCAATGCGACTTTAAATAACATTGACTGCTGTACAAACAGAAATCTCAATATTGGTAAAGATGCCTCCAGATCTTCACTAGTAAAAACGTGGTGAACATGGCAGAGGGGGCAAGAGTTAGGGAAATGTGGTTTAATGTCAACTCGACACAAACATGGTCATTTCGAGACTAACATACGTTCAATTTTAATTCAATAATTTTCATGCACGTAGGGGTGTGTCTCTTGGGAGAAAACCGGGGGGTGGGGGGGGCTGACAAAACACATGAGGTTGAACAGATGATCCTACTCCTTGTCATTTACAAGCGGGAAATCAAAACAACGCCACTTGCCTCAGACCTGATGATCTAACATGCATGCGTCAAACCATTTGACTACCCAACAAGGGGAACATTTCTGTCTAGTTGCCTGACATGACATGACATGACATGACCTGAGCTCCAATTCTAATCAGAGACGACTAGAATTGGAATGCCATTTTTTTAAAAACTCTACAACATAATGAAGACCTCCAATTAGAATTCTGAGCATTCTTTGGATTTAAGATGAGAATGAGATGATATCACCATGGACAACATACAGATCAATGACTAAAAGAATGATGACTGCACACATGTTACCACGGTGACAAGCCTTCAATCAGACGCACAGATCTCAATTAAAAATCAGTATTTTCCTGCATAAAAAAAACAACAACTCCCACTTGATGAAATAATTTTAATCTTGAGGATTGACGATGGAATCAATTTAGAAAGGTGTTGGTCAGATGACCTCCAGTTTCATTAAAATGGTGTCATCATCACAATGCACTCTTAAGTCTAACTATAGACGTTATAGGACTTCATTTAATCAAATTAAAGGGGGAGATCTACACATTGTGACATAATGAATATTAATGTCTCATGAATATAAATTAATGTCTGTGGCCACACCCTGACAGTACTAATAAAGCCCTAATATGGGCATGCATCTATCATTGGGGCATTATTCTACAGAATATAAAACATATTTCAAGTGATTCAAGTGACTGCTTTTTTTTCTATCAAAAACAGAGAATCAAATCGGTGTGGCCTTTCTTAAAATATTTTAGCCGAAGTTTTTGATAATAAAGTTCCTGGTGGGCAACCATACTTGTTAGCTGTATGAATTTCTCGACTGAAAAATAAGTGGTATCAGGTGTTCTATAAAGCACAGTGACTTGGTATAAGGCACTGGCTTACTAACCTGGGCCCTGTTTCTCGAAATTTTAACTAAAGATAAAATCCAAATTTTAGTAGATATTTCAATTTTGATTGACTAAGCACTAAAATCAATCTAATATTATCCAATCAAATTACTAAAACTTGGATTTTATCTTAGTTAAAATTTCGTGAAACAGGCCCCAGGTCCCAAGGTCGATCACTAACTTCTACAGGATTTTTTTCAGTGTCATTTCCCCTTGCCAGTTGTGCAAGATGGAGGAAATGACCAGTAAGGGTGTTGAGTCATTCAGATGGGACATAAATTCTGAGGATCTGTGATGAAGATTAGATTTACGCTCTTCAATAGCTTGGCCCCAAGTTCACAAACCATTCTCAAACTCAACTTAAGAATTTACTCAACTTTTATTCAATGAGATCCAGAACACATAACTTTGCACATAGTTTCTTATTGATGTATTTGATACATTATAACAACAAAAGTTTTATAAAGGGCTATATTTTAGTTAATAAGCCAAGCAATTTTGAATAAATTCTTAACTTAAGCCAGAGAATGCTTTTTGAACTCGGGGCTGGGTTGGTGCAGAAAAGTAGGAAATTACACATCAATTCAGTTTATTTCCAGAAACAGTATGCATACTCCACCACAGGCACAATGCCAGTCAATACATATTGCTAATTCGAGGACGCAATTGTTAAGTCTTTAATATACATAAGAAGCCAAAACCTACCTTGTAGACGGTAAATAATGGTTTATATTCTTAAGATTATAAAAGTTTCATTTCTTCCACTTTCAACTTTTTAAAAAATATAAATTGACTCATGGTAACAAGGCCAGCTGATATTTTGTGTGTTTTACAGAAAACCTCAAGTCAGAAGTGAGAGACAAAGATGGATGTAGATGGATTGGTCTATGGGTTATTTTTATACTTCATTAAAACCAACTCCATTTTTTGTTAAATTATTTTCTTTTGACAAAACCTATATGCAAGACCAAGAATATTTCTAAGAAGTAAAATCAACATAAAGTCAATGCAAATTACAAATTCCAAAGCTGGAAAAGAAATGAAATGAAAATGGATTAAACGCCCAATTTTTCTGAACCAACCAAAGCTAATAAGATTGGCATGGAGTGGGCTTTGGGGTAAATTTTGACCAGACAACGCTACTTTTGTCTAACCTTGTTCCGATTTCCAACTGTCGGGGGATCTTTAACATGATCCCAATGGTATATGCAGGTTCTTGACTTTTAGCCACATCTGGCCCCAAGTTCAGAAAGCATTCTTGGACTTAAATTAAAAATTTACTCAAAATTGTCCGCATTATTTCAACTAAAATATTGCTCTTTATAAAACTTGTGTTATTTTTATGTATCAAATACATCAATAAGAAACTATATGCAAAGTTTTGTGTTTCTAGATCAAAGATATTTTTCACAAACAGTGATTGAAAGTTGAGTAAATTCTTAATTTGAGTCTGAGAATGCTTTGTGAACTTAGGGCCAGGGCTTCAAAAGAGCCACGGTTAGGTACTGGGTTCGAACTAGGTGTTGACCCTAAAATTTCTCGTGATTTTGTATATTGAGTGTAACTTCTACGAATATAATAAATGAAACATTGATAGACTTACGTGACACGATCACCCAGACACTCTTCTTTCTCTCCCCAGCAGAATTGTTGACGACCAGTGTGTAATTCCCCGAATCAATCTCCTGTGGATTCTCGAAGATGATTTTGTTTCCTTCCGTACGAATGAGTCCTGTGTCTTTTATCTGTAGATCATTTCTGTCGATCCACCTGAAAAAAATAAATAAAATATTGATTAGTGTCAGTGACAGATTTAGATGAAGAGGGAGAGAGGTCCTTTATTCCACTTGTGGGGCCCTTCCCTATCCACAACCATCTCAAATAGAGGACAAAGAAAGTGTTTTACCTCAACCTCTGGCTTACAGCAAGATGAAAGTGAGTTTTAATCACAATTGAATGGTATAGTAGAACCTGAACCACAATACGTATTGTATCGTGACTGCAGTGGCAATACCCAACACAACTGATTAGTACCAAACCTCTGAATAGGACCATATGCACCAGTTGAAGTCACTGATCGGCATTTGCATTATTCAAGTAATATCTAATTTTCCACCACTCCTGGGGGATCACGTGGCTTAGTGGGTAAGACGCTGGCTCGCTAGCCTGGAGGTTGGGTGTTCGATCCCTGCATTGGCCGAGAAAATTCATCCAGATTTTCCGGCGTGGTTCCCCCTTGTCAGTGATGCAGGATGGAGGGCCTCACAAGGACAGCTGTCTAGTCCTTCGGATGAGACAAAAAAACGAGGTCCCGTGTATACATTAAAATGCACATAAAAGATCCCTTGGCAGTTGGAATTCGATATAAGAGTAGGCGATAGTGCCGCTGCCCGGGCAAAATTTCCCTCATGGCACACTGTATGGCGTATGCCCATCTTCATAAGCCCAGCATAGGAGCAGAACAGTAGGACGTTAAAACCCCATTTCATTTCATTTCATTTCATTTCCACCACTCCTTGCTATCAAACTCAAAACATCAAAGGTAGATAACTCCCGGTTTTGATTCAATCAGATTAAAAATATGCTCTTTTATTTTTATCCATGCAGACTCTTCGTAAATTAAAGATTTCAACCTGGCTAAATCCGACCTTGAACTATCTTTAATTTTACTTTCCTGACATTTTTATAAATGGGCAACAAGTTTACATATTTTAATACCATAATATATATCATTTACATTTTATTATCAGGAGTGAGAAAAAAATCTACATTAAAAAAAATTGTTATGATCTTTAAAACCATAACATGTATAAATCAAGCAAATATGATTTATGAGGCCGTTATTTTAGTAAAATAAATCCCTGTTTTGTTATATTATATATATTTACGTTTACATTTAGTAAACGGCCTGTCATTTTACGATATTTTCCAGATGTTGCACGGGTCTCGATAGTTGCACTTGAAGCAGATGTTTGACATGTAGAAGCATACCAATATGTAAGGAATCGCAGATATCCATTAAGGTTGATATTTTTCATCAATAGGTTTCGAAAACGTTTAGCCCTGTAGTGTATGTGTGTTTTGTAATAAAGATGCAGACGCTAAAAACAAAGTAACACAGAATTTCTCTTACTTCCAAGTTTATTTTGTGTTAAAATCTGTAAACTCGATGTTACGAGGGATGGGCAACTATCCTACACTCATTCAATAAAAATAGTTAAGACAGGTAGGGATAAAGAAATGAAAATAAAATGAAATGAGGTTTAACGTCCTACCAGGCCCGTAGCCAGCTCGTTAGCTTCGGAGGGGCAGTGAAGTTTTGGAGGGGGGGGGGACACCCAGCACAGTCTACGGGCCTGTGTCCTACTGTTCTGCTCCAACATGGGTAACGACAGGTGGGATAAGAAAACTTTTGAACAGGTAATCTAACGTTTGGTGCACCTGAGAATAGATGGGCTGGAGGCTATAAGTTCAACTAAGCATAGATGAGATAGGGGCCCGGAAAACCTACGTATATATAACCTAGAGCTGAGTGCGTGCACCTAAGATAGGGTATGGTGCAATTAAAAACAGATGGGTTAAAGGGTTCGGTGCATCTGAATAGATGGGCTAGGGTTTGGTGCACCTTAGATAAGTTGGGTTAGGGGTGGGTTCAACTAAGAATAGATGGGCTAGAGTTACAAATGCCTAGGAGCAGACAGTCCACTTTAAGCTATAGGCTTCCTGCTTTAAGCTATAGGCTTACAACTTAATGGTATGGGCCTACTAACACTTAATGCTATAGGCCTACCACTGTAAGCTATAGGCCTACCACTTTAAGCTATAGGCCTACTACTTTAAGCTATAGGCCTCCCGCTTTAAGCTATAGGCTTCCTGCTTTAAGCTATAGGCCTACCACTTTAAGCTATAGGCCTACTACTTTAAGCTATAGGCCTACTACTTTAAGCTACAGGCCTACCACTTTAAGCTATAGGCCTACCACTTTAAGCTATAGGCCTACCACTTTAAGCTATAGGCTTCCTGCGCTTTAAGCTATATGCTAACAACTTAATGGTATGGGCCTACTACCACTTAATGCTATAGGCCTACCACTATAAGCTATAGACCTACCACTTTAAGCTATAGGCTTCCTGCTTTAAGCTATAGGCCTCCCACTTTCAGCTATAGGCCTACCACTTTAAGACAAAAAATGTGCTGAGTAAGTAACACGGTTTGTAATCATTTAAAAATCTTTGCTTTTATCTCACACATTTATTTACTTTCAAACTTTCTTCAAAAACAAATCTTTAGAATATAACGAAGGTAAATTTAAAAGTAAATAAAACTTTGTTGTGACTTGGGGTGGATGAAGGAACCGTATCAAAACATAAAATTACAAAGCCTGTGTTTATCCCCTTTATTAATCAAAAACAACCTCCAAAGTTTCTTATTTTTAATGTAAACGAAATTTAAATCAATGTAAAGGGTTGAAAGTAAGACTTGATGGCGTTATGTAAAGAAGTGAAAATTTCAAGCCTCTGTGCATCCATTTGCATTTTTGCAGTTAAAATCTATTTTTTCGTGGCTTAATCCAAGCTAAAATGTACTCAAATTTATAATTTAACATTTAATAACAATTTAACAAAATATCAATTGTAGCTATTGTGGTTTTGGATTGAATCGGATTAAATGAAATCAATTTGGGTTCAACGGCCTAATGTTCTGCTCCGACTGGGCTACTGAAGACAGGCCTACTGAAGACAGGCCTATGACATACAGGGTGCCATGAGGGAAATTTTGCCTGGACAGTGGTGCGACAGCCTACTCTTATATCGAATTCCAACTGTTATGGGATCTTTTACATGCACGCCCATGTGTACTCGGGGGCCCATTTTTTTGTCCCATCTGAATGACTATACATTGTCCCTTGCCAGCCCCCTGTCCTGCACCACTGACAAAGGGGAACCACGCCGGAAAATCCTGATGCACTTTCTCAGCCAACGCAGGGATCAAAATCGGATTAAAGGTTTCTGCAAAAATCTTAGGTGGCGCTGGTTTGTTTTGACTAAATCCTGTATATCTTCCGCAGTGGATAGTACTTCTGTATATATTATAGGAATCAAACCATACTTTTAGAATACTATAGTTTGCAAGGGGTTTTAAGATCCTTCGACATCATTTCCCTTATCAATGATGTAGGACGGAAGGTCTGGCAAGAAACAGAAAACAGTCATTTACATGGTACGAAAATCCAAGCTTCCACTAGCATAGATGTAAAAGATCATAAATCGGAATTGGAAAACGCTGCTGCCCAGGCAAAATTCCCCTAATTGCAGAACAGAGCATGGTGTATGCCCAACTTTAATAGCTTGATTGCGACAGAAAAATGATGTTAAGCCCCATTTCACTTCATTTCAAAATCCCTCAAAAGACATTCAACAGCTTTAATATAGCAATAGCTTTTCAACCATCACCTTAGGTGTACTGTGTTATCTTAAAACATTTTTTAAAATCCTGACAAAATGATAAAAGAGTTTATTAAAAGGATGTTGAATAAAATTTCTCACTTAGAGATTGTGAAACACCTGACTTGTGAATGGAAAGTGGAGAATATAAACATCAGTTATTTGTTTAGTACATTTTGATTTTAAAATGAATTCTTACCACAAAAGGGAGCATTGCTAATAACGGAAAGAAAAAAATATGGAGATTCATTTCTATCATTTTCAACTTTCATTTGTTATAATTTACTTTTATTTGTGAACTTTCATTTATAGTAAGTTTTTGAACTTTCATAGTATGTCAATTTTTTTACTTTCATTTATAGTAAGTTTTTTTTAACTTTCATTTATAGTAAGTTTTTTTTAACTTTCGTTTATAGTAAGTTTCTAGAACTTTCATCTATAGTAAGTTTCTGGAACTTTCATCTATAGTCAGTTTCTGGAACTTTCATCTATAGTCAGTTTCTGGAACTTTCATTTGTAATAATTTACTTTCATTAAAATTTGTAATAATTTACTGTCATTAAAATTTGTAATAATTTACTTTCATTAAAGTTTGTAATAATTTACTTTCATTTGTAATAATTTACTTTCGTTTATGAACTTTCATTTATAGTTTGCTTTTTGAACTTTCATTAATAGAAATTCTAATTTCAATCTGCGGAGTTCAAAGTAAAACATTGAAATATTCATTGGCATAAAGAGCTATAGTGATGCCCGGGGCCAACTCCTTGAATGTATACCCCCCCCCCCCCACCAACACCAAAGACTCAATCAAGTTAAGGGCCTTGGACTATAAGAAAAGATAACTGTTTAAATATTTCTAAACAGATCAAGTAAATAAATTCAGTAAGACAGCTTGTACAACAGCGGTAATTTAAAAAAAAAAAACTTAATTTAATTTAATTTTTTGATTGAATGCTCCTCCGCGCCTGAAATGTATACCCTAGTTCCCCACCACCCTCCTTGCATGCCACTGGAAATAGGATTCATGATCAATATTACAGAATCAAACAATCGCAATGTGGCCTTTCGTTAGAGTTTTGTTTTAAAATCAAAAAAATGGAATAAAGCCACCTGCATTTGAATGTTTGTTTTTCGTGAACACTTCTTAAAATTGTGATTCCTAAAAAAACAAAATCTAATTTAAAAACAAAAGATACTAGCTTGCATCATCTGAAAAACGTTTTGAGTTCAAAGTTTTGAGATTTTTTAAATAAAACATGGTTTAACAATTATTTACTTAGATTCCTAAAGAACAAAAGATAAAATTGATTTGAAAACTTGAAG